ACACCGCACACCTGAAAATGGTATTGAACACGTGAGTTGTATGACTTTTGAGGCAAACTGACCCTTTGTCTCCTGCAAAAAGGACGTGACCATGAGAGTGACCAAACTGGGCTCGAGTATAACTTCTGAAGATGCTGGAGAGATTGGGGTTAGAGTCCCTGGGCAGAGTTGTCATCACCGTTTTGCGGGCTTCAAGTGGAGACCCGGGCCAAGTCGAGAGGAGAAAATCCTGGACTTCACGGAGCAAGACCTGGTGAACCTCCGAAGGCCTGGGTTTTCGAGGTGCCAGGCCTTTGATTTGTGGCTTTGTGTCAGGCGGATCTATCTCATCATCATGTCCTCTGTGCACTTCGAGGCCAACGTTGCACACGCCTTCTTTCCTCTCACAAAGCACCTGACAGATCTTGCCTGATTGCAGGAGTGCGTGCACAAAATCCTCAAGCTGAATATCGCCGAAGGACAGGAAAAGGAGGCGCGCTCCGTCTATTCCTGGCATGCTTGCTGAAGGTAGATTGTTTGAAGGTGAATTGCTCAAGGGCACACCCACAACAATATCAAATCAAGGTTTGCACGTGTCTGATTATTGCTGCCGCGACGCGAGAAGATGTTCAACAGGCAGGAGCTTGGGTTGTTGGTGTGTGTTGGTGTTGTTGGTGTTGTTGGTTGTTGTTTGGTGTTGTTCGTTTATGTTGTTGGTGTTGTTGGTGTTGTTGGTGTTGTTGTTGTTGTTGTTGTTGTTGTTGGTGTTGTTGGTGTTGTTGTTGTTGTTGGTGTTGTTGTTGTTGTTGTTGTGGCTGCAGTGTTGCTGCAGCTGTTGCTGTTGCTGTTGCTGTTGCGGTGCGTTGCCGTTGCCGTTGCACGTTCGCCGTCGCCGTTGCCGTCGCCGTCGCCGTTGACGTCGTCGGTGTTGTTGTTGTTGTTGTTGTTGTTGTTGTTGTTGTTTTTTGTTGGTTGTTGTTGTTGTTGTTGTTGTTGTTGTTGTTGTTGTTGTTGTTGTTGTTGTTGTTGTTGTTGTTGTGGTTGTTGCTGTTGCTGTTGCTGTTGCTGTTGCTGTTGCTGTTGCTGTTGCTGTTGCTGTTGCTGTTGCTGTTGCTGTTGCTGTTGCTGTTGCTGTTGCTGTTGTTGTGGTCGTTGTGGTGGTCGTTGTTGTCGTTGTCGTCGTTGTCGTCGTTGTCGTCGTTCTCCGTTCTCGTCGTTGTGATCGTTGTCATCGTTGTCGTCGTTGTCGTCGTTCTCCGTTCTCGTCGTTGTTGTTGTCGTCGTTGTCGGTGTCGCTATTGATGTTGTTGCGGTGGTGGTTGTTGTTGTTGGTGTTGTTCTTGTGGCGGTTGTGGCGGGCGGGTGGTGTTGGCGGTACGCGTGTCTGCTTTTTGCTGCACTGGGACACTCTTTGGAAGTTTGGCTATTGGCCTGCTGCAAGGTTCTTCGTGCTTCAGGCGCGCATCCGGAAGGGCTGGAACTTGCCTAAATGGATTGGAACAGCTTGAGAGACAACCCTTGGGCGTGTCCCACCCTGGGGTTTTCTTGTTGGTTTCCCTACAAAACAAAGCAAAAAGGGCGGAGACACCCATTTGTTGCGGCCACCCATTCGGCTGCTCAGGCGCAACGCTTGTGCCGCCTGAATCCGATATACCAGGCGGGGTGGGACTTGATTCTGGACAATCCACCCCGATCGGATGGTCTGTTTTGTGAGGACTGGGATAAGCCAGCAATCCTGGGTGCGAGCTTGAGTTTGGCCATCCGGGCGGAACTAGTGCAGGTGATACAGGCATATGGGGCCCGCATCATGTTGTGTTTCCCATTGGTTGGTTTTTTGTTAAACAACCCCCCAAGGTATAGTGACTCAACCAGGAGGCAAGCTGACTTGAGCAGTGCTCCTAACTTCTTTAGCGTTTCATTTGAGGTTATTGTTTGGCGGGTAAAAAAGAAGCCCACCTGGGCGTGTGCTTTTGTTGAGGGTACGAGATATATGCACGGATAAGCGTTGGAACATCTCTTGGTGATCTGTTGCGTTTTTGTTTTCTGTTTCTGTTTTTTTTACTAAGACCCCATGCACAACACGGACTATCACCCGCCTAGACCATGAATCACAAATTAAACATACATTCATGAGTGTGTGTCGAAGTAGGAATTGTTCCTTTTGTTTCTTTTAAGCCAAGCCCCAAAAAGCGTAATTACCAACTCAAAAACACAGTCCCCTATGAAGTCGTCTTTGGCGACGAGAGGACAACTTCACCGAAGCCTTCGGCGTGCAGTTCAACACCGTGCACAGGTGCGCTTCGAGCAGATCCGTCGCTTCGTTTCTTTGTGGCTCACTTAATTGGTGAAGCCTACCTCAGGCCAGAAGAGCCCCTGGTTCTTGTAGATGGAAAGGACACCACCCCTATCCTCCAGACCACCAATCTAAAGCAGGTGTCCCCCCAAAGAAAGAGAGAGAGAGAGAGAGAGCGAGAGAACCCCAATTTTGTCTTTGTTTGTCAGTAGGCAATCATTTTGGGGTTTGAGAATGACCCACTTGCGCAGATGCAGGTTCACAACCTGCCTGAAAATGCGTTGCGCCCCCCACCCCCTTGAAAAGGGAGAAACAACCCTGAAACCCCTGTTTTGGGGGTCAGCCACATGCCACCTTGCCATAAAAGATAGATGTGGTAAGTATCCCCTTCCTTAAAAAAAAAAAATGGGTACCTGCCAGGTTTTGAAGACTCAAAGAGAAATGCGCTGCCAGGTTAGAAACCAACAAGCTGCGGAACATTGGGAAGTTCTTTGCCCATCTCCTCTATACGGACTGTGCCGAAGTCGATGTGCATTCCGCTTGGCCATATGTTGCATCATTGGGTGTGCAGCTTGTTCTCAGGGGACCCATCAGAAAGTGGGACTTTTGCCACCGAGCATTTTGAGGGGGGGGGGGGCAGCCAAAAACACCTTTGATTCCAGCAGTCCAGATACCGCGGTCTCCGGCCTGCCCGGCTCGCCCGCGCTCGTCACACGCGGCCGCTTCAGGATGCAATTCCTTGGAGTATTTGGGCGCAGGCATTGGCGCAACCGATTTCTAGGTGGCTCCACTTGGGTTTGGGATAGCAAAGCCTAACCTTTGTAACTAAGCCAGAAAAGTGAATGGGTTAGGGCCGATGTTCAGGTGAAGATCTCCGAAGAAACCACGACCTCCAGCTCCCGTATCTTCATCAAGGCGCCGACGGATTTCGCGCTCACAGGCATGTTGCTTTTTGGGATTGTGGTTTCGTCGTAAACCTCCATTTGCTCAAGCATCTTGATTTTCTTTATTCTCCCCCCTTGGTCTTAAAGGGAATCCACCACTACTGGATGTTTTTTTGTTTCAACAAATACATTAAAAAACATCTACGGGACTTCAGCAAATGGAAGCTTTCAGCGTCCAAATGTTGACGGCGCCACAACGGAGGCCTACCATGTGAAATTCACGGCGTTTCGGGATGAAATCATGACAGGGGGGGGGTCCGCTTTGATGGCTGTGGTTGTCAAAGCCAATGGTACCCCTGGTGAACATCAAAATAGGTGGCAAAGGGATGTTCATCCACCCCAAAATGGGATCGCCATAGGTTGTGCGGTTATGCCCCATGGCCACATAGCCTTTTGTGTGGTGGGGGGGAGGGGAGAAGCGCCACGCGCATGTGGAATGCCTTGAGGTGATCTTCCAAGAGCTTTCTGAACTGCCAGCTTCTCAGCATCTCAGGATTTCAGTCACAGCTTCTGGTGCAAAATGGTTGGCCGTTGCATCCTGACAGTCATTCTCAATTGGGAGTGTATTTTTGTTGAGTACCCCAAATGGGATCCCCCAAAACCGGATCCCCGAAGCCAAATCATTTTGGGGGTTCCATTGTGACGCAGCCCATGTCGGGCATCTCTTGGGGTATCCAACCCTTCTGAGAAGTCCCGCTACAGGTGGGGCATCAAGAAGCTGGTGGATCGACTTCGGGAGGAGGAGTTGAAGCCCTTCTTCGTGGGCCTCTTCCCCAAGGAGAGGTGCTGAGGTCATGCTGTGGATGGACAAAATCCACTTCGCACCACACAATGATACCATGGTGGAAACCATGATTTGCCGGTATTTGCAGGGGGATGATCAGAAACCATCTCTTAGGTGGTGCGAAATGGATTTCGTCCACGGACAGTAGGTGTCCTTTTTGGGATAGGGTGGTGAAAAATAGATGGCACTGGTTTAGATGGGTTTTGTTCCATTTACCAGGGAAACCCATATATATTTCCAAAAGGACACCTATGGCTGAGGTCTTAAGCCGCGTCTTTGAGCGAACCGCGACTGAACACCCTCCACCTCACCAGGTGGTTCTAGCCGGTCTGGCAGCCTAGGTTCAGGCCAAGGTGGGTGTGTCTTTCTGTAGGGTAGCTCTTTTTTGTGGTTGTAGAGGGAAGCCAACAGGAAAACCGAAGTCCCCTAAGAAAAACACACACACACACACAACTGGGCTCCTTGGCTGGGTGCGGGTTGCTTTAAAGCCCTTGGGCATGATCAAAGGGTCCGGTAAACATGGGATGACCATGGTTTGGAAAACCACCGACAAAGATTGATATTTCCCATTAATTGGAAAAGGTCACCCATGGTCATCAACCACTTTCCAGAAATCCTCGGTAGGTCATTCGGAATCACACACGGCCCACACACACACACACAGGACCATCCAAAGAACGTCCGCTTTGCCATCAACTACTTCACTGCCATCGGCTTGGGCGTCCTCACTGAGGACGTTACCGCTCGCGTTGCCCATGCGGCAAGTTCGTTGCTCGGCTGGCCATGACAGTAGTCAGTTTGCAGACCAAGACTAAGAGACAAGAGGTTCGGTCAAACATTTGCAGCAGTCTACAACCTGGGATTCTGTGGGTGTGACTGGCTGGCGGCTACTCGTTTCGGGGGCAAGTGGTTTTGCGTTTGAATGGTTGAAACAGCCACGCAAATGGGAGTTTACACAAGTTCCAATAGATGTCCACCAAAGGGCCAACCAATTGGAAGAATTGCCATGCACGTTGTGTAAAAGTGGAAGTGGACCTCGGTGCTTTTCCTTTTTGTTCCCCCAAGTGGTTCCATTTGACAGATCTCAGAGATACCATCCTCAGGGTCCAAAGTCGTTTCAACCCCCGACGGTTCGATTCAGGGAACCAACAGGTGCAAAGAAACGTTTTTCAGCCAGCTGGCCCAACCGACAGATCTCCCGGAGGCAAACTTCACCAGAGGATGGACAAACGAACAAGCGGGATACGGAGGGAGCGGGGATGTGGGGGGATTCCAACTTGGCGCCATTTCCTAAATCAAACTTAGTCAAGGTGCATCAAACGGGGGAATTCTCAAGCGCATCCAACTGGTTTCCCCTTGTATCCCTACTTGGTTTCCTTGACTCAGGCTCCAAACGGCCTGACGCTCGCTCCGTTCGGCAGACCTACGCTCCTTCCTGGAACAGGCCAACGTCAAGCAGCAGCCGAGGCACAGAAGGCGGAGACGGCGAAGCACGCACACGTGGCGTGGTTTGTGCACACCATTGCCTGTATGATATGTGGCTGTGGGTCAAAAATAGGTAATTACCCAAAATGGAACCCTGGTAAATGGAACCAAGGACTAAAAAAAATGACCCATACCCATGTGTATACAAAAGAGATTATATGTTTCTTTTGGTGTGCGTGCTTCTTCTTTTTTTGGGGGGAGCTTCCTTTTGGTTAGCTTCTCTGATGTAATTACTCTGGATGGGCCAAATCCTGCAGGGATGGAATTCGTTGGCTTATCCCAGAGGTTTCATCCATAGTTTCCAGGCGCAAAGTGGGCAGTATGTCGGTGTGTCTTTCTTTGAGGGTACCCCCTTGTTTTGAGCCGTATTGGTGACATTCCGTGCTTCATCCCTTTTACCTCGGTTTCAGGTGGGGCCTTCAAAAAGGGGATCTAACGAGGGGTCCAGAGATTCACTGCAGGCTGCGGAGGAACGTGCCATGGAGGCGCGGCTGTGGCTGACGGGGGCTGACTGCCAGAATGAGCGTTCTTTTTACCGGGCTTCTCTTTCATTCGTTGTCCTTCGATTCTACTTTGATATCTTTTCGGCGTCCCTTTCTTCCGAAAGCTGCAATTGTCCAGGGAGGGCCATTTTTTTTAGGAATTTCTTTCGTTTTTTTTTAGGAATTATTTTTGTTTTTCAGGGTCGGTGGCTTTTCGGCTTTTTGGTTTTTGTGGCTTTTACGTGGGTTTTTGTGGCTTTTGTGGCTTTTCATTTCGCATCATCTGCATTCACAGTTCCTCTCTTTTCGCATCCTCTGCATTGCCAGTTCCGCTGCGGCAGGTGGCTTTTTGGCTTTTTGGCTTTTTGGCTTTTTGGCTTTTTGGCTTTTTGGCTTTTTGGCTTTTTGGCTTTTTGGCTTTTTGGCTTTTTGGCTTTTTGGCTTTTTGGCTTTTTGGCTTTTTGGCTTTTGGCGGCTTTCTGGCTTTGGCTTTTCGCATCCTGATGCTTTCCCAGTTGGTTTTTGGCCTTGGCTTCCTGCATCCTCAGCATCGCAAGTTCCTCTCTGGGCCCCCCGCCACCCCCCTTTCGATTAAAATGCACGCCTAATTGAATCATCACTTTTTCGATCATCATGCGACAGCTACTTTTTAGATTCTTTGCCCCTATTTTTTCGATCATCATGGGGGGGGGTCTTCCGTTTTGCAGGGATTAGTTTGCCCGCATTTGAATCCTCACTTGTACCATGAGGCCTTGCCGCAGAGGATCCTTTTGTGTCCCTCTAAACCAGCATCGGGGACCCTGACACAAAGACACCCGATTGGAGGGAGGGGTGTGCAAGTGCTCTGCAGGAAGTGCCTCCTGGAGACGGAGCCCTGGTGAGGTATGCCGAACGTAGGACCTGATCCTCAGAACATGGGTGTGTCGTTTTGCAGGGCACCTTCCTTTGGGTGGTTTTTTGAAGCAAGCCACACATTTTGGGGGGTCGCCCCTGTTTTGAGACCCACACCCCGATGCCAAAGAGCATATTTTGAATGCGTGCATCGTTCACACGTTTTGGGTGCGGTGGCAGCCTGGTTTCACAGATAGATGTGCGAATGCCGAAGGCCTTGCACAGACCCCATGCGCCTCGTTTGACTCGCGGCATTTTGAAATTTCAACATTCCTGGCAGGCCGTTGCTTCAGTCCTGACAGAACTTGCAGATATGTGGGCGGTATGAGTGGGTATGAGGAGAAGCTTCGCCGTCCGCAGCGTAGAAGCACATGGCTGTCACTATGGTTGGTTTCAAGATACACTAGAAACCAATGTACTTGCACCATGATACCCAAGCAAAGCAGTTTGCCTCCAAGCTATGAAGACAACATCACCCCACATTGGATCGCCTATGCGCTGAGACGGGAAACTTTCACGTGCATAGAAGAGAATCGTTGCCTGCCATGGCAAGCAAGGAGGCCAGCGTTGCCCGAACTGCGGCAGGGGTTTGCAGAAGAACTCTTGCCCCCCAAAGGCAAGATTTGTTCTCTCACTACTGCGTTGGTTAGCCCCCATCCACGTGTTATATATACCCCAACAGAACTGCATAGTGCCCGGAATCGCGGATGACATTCCTCCAGTTCCCGGATGGTTTTGACATGCCTGCACTCCAACATGAAATGAACGGTGGCAAGAGGAAAGTGCAGTGCGCTCTTGGTCAGGCAAAGCAAGAAGAAGACATTGAAAGCTACAAGTGCCTCGATGAGTGTGCATGCCTCCAGGGTTCCCGATTTGTGTTGATTGGATGTGTGCGTGTTGGAAGCCAAGAGTCTACGTTTTCAACCAACGCCTAAGATTAGCTTGAGTGGACAGCGGTTGACCATCAACAGAGCCACTTTAAGGAAGCGGAAAATTGCGGACTTGGAGAACTTGGGCAGAAGCGGTGGTGTCGCTTTGCTGCAATGAGGCGAGTCATGAAGTTTCTATCGCCAAGCTTGAAGTCTGTCATGATCAGTCCGCGATGATGCTCGAGCTCACTCGCCCAGGTATATGTTCCTCCCTTCAAGAATCTTGGCTTGACACGGCTGGAAAAGGGCTTCACATGTTTGGAGCAAACAAATGGGGTTTGTCTCTCCCCTCAAATGGGTGGTGAGTGTTTGGAGTTCCTTGGGGCCAAGCCCGATCGCATGAAAACATTGGTCTCAGGCTGGCGCGAATGCAGAAGGAGATCGAGGATAAGACCAGCGCGGAGTACCAGAGGCAAACCTGGGAGGCACGTTGCACGCACGCCCCAAGTTCCAAGCGAGAGACACAGTATTGTTTGCCAAATGGAAGCTGTCTCCTCAGGCCCTCAGAAAAAGTATCAACGGCTTGGTGAACAAAGTCAACGCGCCTTGGGCAGCATGCCAGTGCGTGCGCGGGTGTGTGTGTGTGTGTGTCACCACGTTTGTCTTGAAGCTCTGCGTTCGGGGAGGATGGCAGACTGTATGCGCGCAGATTGCACATCGGGTGCTAAGCCCAATTTTCTGCCAGGTTCGGCATTGATTGATGTCGAGAAGCCAGGTTGCTCTGGGTCGGACCAAACTCTCTTGATCCGAGGTTGGCAATATCAAGAACATAGTGGAGGACTGGGTGGCAGTCAATATAGAGCCCAGTGTCATGGGTCCCCGATTTTGAGACCTGATCTGAGTTGATTCCGGGGTCAATATGACCATGGTTTCACAAGGGGGGGCCAAAGGGATGAGCTTCTTCTTCCGTTGGAAGATATTCCCCCGAAGCAAATCAGCCAAAGGGTGGGAATGCCCACAGGTTTCCAGATTTCACCTGTTGAGACACCCCTTTTTGTGGTTTAAGGGGAAACCAAAAGGAACGCCACCATTTTGAGGGCGCCGAAAAAAGACAACCACCTGGATGAGTTGGGAGTTCCCATGCTGATTCAGGTACCTCGAAATGGACAGATTGGCTGGTTCGTATGCGTCAATTGGGGGGACCCCACAATTTGTGATTTTCCTTTTCATTTCCTTTGAACCAAAGTGATAGAGACGCCAAAAGCACACAAGACATTCGATTTTGGGTAAAAAAAATCAATCCGAAACCCGAGCCAATGGTTTTCCTGAAGATCGGATTGGCCGCGCGTTTGGGTCAGTGTTTCGTTTGAGTTGAAGTTTCTGTGATAAGGCCGTCTTGTTTTGAGGGTGCCCCCTTTTCGTGGTTTTAAAGGTTCGAACGCCAAAAGCAAAACGCTTGCGCCATTTTGGAGCCACTTCTCTCCGATTTTTGCCCTTGGCATTCGAATGCAGGAGCTGTTCCAGGAGAACCTGGTGCGAGGCCGCGGCCTGCTCGTGCGTCCCGAGCTGAGTGGCTTCGATTCTCGGCCTTTTGGGAGCTTCCACGTTGAGGGAGTAGTGCCTGGTTGAATTGTGGGGGTAATAAAGCCTATATCTAAAGAAGCTTCTTTGCAATGTGCGTAGTGTCTCTGGGCGCTGACCTGAGTGTGGTTCCCTTTTTCAGAACCCAAGGGTGGCTCGCAAAGCCTCTCGGAGATGTGTGAAGGGTTCCATTTCTCGATTTGATCAAGGTACACCCAGATTCCCGGTGGTTGATTTCCTGAGGAAGCGGAGCCGATTCCTGGGATTGAGTCTTCGGAGCGGCCGAAAAATAAGCGAGTGCCGTTTTTGGAGGGCACCTTCTTTTTGTGTGGCTTCAAAGCAAAACCAAAAGGAACCCAACCATTTTGAGGGTTCTGGTATTTTGACCCAAGCCCAAATGAAACCCGGGCTCCGCGGTTGCGTTTGGGTCACTGAGGTGCGCTGATCAGAGCGCAGATGGCTTCGCCCGGCTTCACCCATGCGCTTGGTCTCAGTGGGATTGGTGCCATCGCCCATTTTGAGGGTACCTGGATCGCCCAGGTTTTCCAATAGAAACCAGCCTCAAAAGGGGTAACTCGAAAAAAGAAATTGAGCCACCCACATCACCCCGTGCTTGCCAACTTGCTGGAAGTGCCTGGATCCCCAAGTTTCGAAAAGGACGTTGCCCTGAAATTCAGTCACAGTTGCTGGGCACATAGCGATTCGCAACTGGCCATCCAGGTACTGTTTTTGGTTGGTCGGTTTAAAGGGGAATTAGTCTAGGGGAAGCTTCCCCATTCTTTCCAGGGATCCTTCTTTTCAGGAAACCATCAAAAACCCTGGGAAACAGCTGGTTTTTGAACAGAACGACGGTGGAAAAGAATGGGGAATTAAACCCTAGAATGAAAGGCAAAGGGCTGGGTTCTTTGAGACATACCCAGTGCCTCCAGTTGCCAGAGGTATTGAAAGGAAACCACCATTTGAACAATTTCTGGTGACATTTGGGGGGTTGACTTTCCTTTAGCTTCCCTCAAAAAAAAGACCGAGCCCAACCTCAAACTACATTTGGAGCAATCAACCACCCCTGGGGTTAAGCTAAAGATGTTGCTGCTTTCTGTGAGCCAAGCGGTTTCCCTCCAAATGATAAAGCAGGGATGAGAATCGACCACTTTGGCATCACTGGTTGGATCAGGTCCTTTAAGATTTGGGTTCCCCCCATTGAGTTTTGGACAATCTCCAACTCTGGTATCGCAGATTCGGGGGATTTTCCATTGGCACCACAACTGCCCAAAGACTTTGGTCCCAAATCCAGACGGCCATACATTGGAGCCGCCTATTATTTCTGGGTTGCGATCCGCCATTTCTTCTTCTTGGTGTTTTTTTTTGAGGGGGGGATTAAGTTATGGCCGCGCTCAACCCTGGGGACCGATCCCTCTCAAGCCTTGGAAAGCAGAATTCGCAGACGATGGCTACACCCACCAGGAGTTGGTGCATAGATCAGAACCCTCGAAAATGCCTTCGCAATGTTCTTAGACACCTCAATCATCGACTTGCGCGGATACCCGTCCCATACTGTGGATGGACAAATTCCTGCACCAGATGGTCAGTGGTTTATCCCAGCTCTGACAGTGTTTCATCCATCCCAACTGGTCCACCCACAGTATGACCTTTTCTCCTTCTGATTTTGGCCACCGCTCACTTTCTTTTTCAGAGATCAACGGACGCAAACACCGTGTCTGCGCCGGGGTTGAGCAACACCCACATAGGTGTCCTTTTTGGTTGTTTTGGCAAAAGAATAGATGGTGATTCCTAGTTTACCAGTTTACTCATCTACCAGAGCCATCTATTTAGCAGGCTGACGCCTGATGCCCCCGACCCCCAATGGATTGCTATTGTAATCGTAGCATCCCTTGCATCGCAAGCGGGCGTAGCTTTTGATTTCGTTTTTCTAGATGACGACCGTCACCATGCTGATGATGATGATGATGATGATGATGAGGATGAGGATGAGGATGATGAGGATGAGGATGCTGAGGATGAGGATGCTGATGCTGGATGAAGCTTTTTTCCGTGAGAAGGCGGGTTACGAGGTGCGAGGTCGACCCTTAATTTCGCGAGGTGGCTTGTTTGTTTTTTTTTTTTGAAAAAATCGAAAAAAAAAAAGAGGGGAAAGAAGACACAAGTAACTCGAAGGTGTACTAAAGATGGACTGGATCTCCTCGAAATATTGGATCACAGAAAAGTGTACCAGAATGAAGATCACCCAACATAAAAACAAGGGTACCAGATAAGATAGGCAACGAAAGCCGTAAGCAAGAAAGAGAAAGGAAACAATGGGATGGTCTGCAATATAAGATAATAAGATCTCAGGGGTGAAACGTCCGAGGCTCAGGTCGGAGGTTGAGAGCAACTTTCGAAGACAAAGAAGGCAGGTTCGATGATGATGCGACGATGAGGATGATGATGCTGATGGATAATGAATGATGATGATGATGATGATGCTGGATGACGACGATGATGGTGATGCTGATATGCATGATGATGATGATGATAATGATGCTGATGATGATAAGGATGATGATGATGATGATGATGATGATGATGATGATGCTGGGGATGATGACGCTGATGATGATGATGATGGTGATGACGACGATGATGATGATGATGGATGATGATGATGGATGATGATGATGATGATGAGGATGATGATGATGATGATGATGATGGATGACGATGTGATGATAATGGATGATGCCTTTTTTGTCAGCCTTTTCACGGAAACAAGGCAGCTTTTGCATCCCCAGCTTCACCAGCATCATCCTGCAGGTGCCTGGGGTGATGCTTTGCATGCTGGGGATGCGGGAGCTGCCTTTTTGGTCTTGGAGACCCGGGAAAAAAGGCAGCTGTTGCATCCCCAGCTTCACCAGCATTATCCTGCAAGTGCCTGGGGTGATGCGTTGCATGCTGGGGATGCGGGGGCTGCCTTTTTGGTCTTGGAGACCCGGGAAAAAAAGCAGCTGTTGCATCCCCAGCTTCACCAGCATCGTCCTGCAAGTGCCTGGGGTGATGTTACGTCTGCGCGGGATGCAATCATCCATCGTCAGCTTCCCGTAGTCTTCCCGTAGTCTTCCGTCAGCTTCCCATAGTCTTCCGTCATCTTCCCGTAGTCTTCCGTCATCTTCCCGTAGTCTTCCGTCATCTTCCCGTAGTCTTCCGTCATCTTCCCGTCATCTTCCCGTAGTCTTCCGTCATCTTCCCGTAGTCTTCCGTCAGGTGTAGTCTTCCGTCATCTTGTCTTGCGTCATCTTCCCGTAGTCTTCCGTCATCTCCCGCAGTCTTCCGTCAGCTTCCCGTGTAGTCTTCCGTCATCTTCCCGTAGTCTTCCGTCATCCTTCCGTCAGCTTCCCGTAGTCTTCCGTCATCTTTCCGTAGTCTTCCCATCATCTTCTATCCTCACGGTTAGAGGATAAGGTTAGAGGTTAGGGTTAGAGGTTAGGGTTAGAGGTTAGGGTTAGAGGTTAGGGTTAGAGGTTAGGGTTAGAGGTTAGAGTTAGAGGTTAGGGTTAGAGGTTAGAGTTAGAGGTTAGGGTTAGAGGTTAGGGTTAGAGGTTAGGGTTAGAGGTTAGGGTTAGAGGTTATGGTCCCCGTAGTCTTCCGTCATCTTCCCGTCATCTTCCCGTAGTCTTCCGTCATCTTCCCGTAGTCTTCCGTCATCTTCCCGTAGTCTTCTGTCATCTTCCCGTAGTCTTCCGTCATCTTCCCGTGGTCTTCCGTCATTTTCCCGTCATCTTCCCGTGTCTTCCGTCAGCCTCCCGTCATCTTCCCGTAGTCTTCCGTCATCTTCCCGGCCATGGTCTTCCGTCATCTTCCCGTAGTCTTCCGTCATCTTCCCGCAGTCTTCCGTCAGCTTCCCGTGTAGTCTTCCGTCATCTTCCCGTAGTCTTCCGTCATCTTCCCGCCAGCTTCCCTTCCCGTAGTCTACCGTCATTTTCCCTTAGTCTTCCGTCATCTTCCATTCTTCCCGTAGTCTTCCGTCATCTTTCCGCACTCTTCCGTCATCTTCCCGTCAGCTTCCCGTAGTCTTCCGTCATCTTCCGGTAGTCTTCCGTCAGCTTGCCATAGTCTTCCGTCCTATCGGTTAGAGGTTAGGGTTAGAGGTTAGGGTTAGAGGTTAGGGTTAGAGGTTAGGGTTAGAGGTTAGGGTTAGAGGTTAGGGTTAGAGGTTAGGGTTAGGTTAGGGTTAGAGGTTAGGGTTAGAGGTTAGGGTTAGAGGTTAGGGTTAGAGGTTAGGGTTAGAGGTTAGGGTTAGAGGTTAGAGTTAGCGGTTAGGGTTAGAGGTTAGGGTTAGAGGTTCGGGTTAGAGGTTAGGCGCCGCGGCACCCCCCCTCCCCCCTCAGACTCCCCCTAACCACCACTTAGAACACGCCTCGCCCCTTTGCAGAGACTAACTTGGCTTTTGCAAAGGGGTCGGCGGATTTCCCCCACAGGACAGCTATGAACACCCATGGATTCAGAGGCACCGTCAACTCAGGTCTTTGCAGCGCTTCTGGCAGTGATCAACTCCAAGCTGCTAGGGCCCCAAGGGCGTCGGAAGAAGAAAAAACGCTCGGGACGCCTACGTAGAGTGTGTCTTAAAATGTTGTGGATGGTTGCAAAATCCATTTCGCACCACGAAATGATACCATGGTTGAAACCATGATTTGTTGGTACTTACAGGGGAATGATCAGAAGCCAGGGCCTCTTAGGTAGTTCACAGTAGGGGGAAGCCCAAAATGGCGCAGCGGTTTTCCCTTTGGCTTTTCCTCTTCGGCCGGTGGCGTTTTGGTTTTTGCGGCTTTTCGCTGGTTTATGCGGCTTTTGGCGGCTTTGGCTTTTCGCATCCTCTGCTTTCCCAGTTCCTCTCCGGGCTTTTTGGCTTTTGCACCCTTTCATTGGTTTTTGGATTTGGCTTCCCGCATCATCAGCATCACCACCACCCTATTTGAATAAGCTCTTCTTCAAACATCGTGGGGGGGTTGCCGCCTCCCCCCGTTACTTTTTAGATTTCTTGCAGAGATTGAATTGCACCACTCGCAGTCAGCACCGCGACCTCCTTGGTGGATAGACTAGCAACCTCCATCACTGGAAATAATTGCAAATCAAGTCTTATTGCAGTATTAATTCCTATCATTAAAGCCATGGAGTGTGATGCACATTCCCTCCCATGCCAATTTTTTAGGTGCCCATCATTTTAGCACAGCTCTGGCGTTTTTTTGGAAAGACGCCGCAAGGAAACCACCCCAAGCGACACACAAGTGACCATCAGCCTTGGTCGCGGCTGCGCAGGCCGGAGGTTGGCGATCTGCTCATTCGGCGAGTGATTTTGCAGTTCCGTCGCGCCTACAAGAGGCAGGGCTTGCGACCAGACTGGGGGCCTTGGGCGTGGCAGGGGGGGGGGGGAGCGGGAATGGCGAGAATGGGTTTGTTTGGAGCCCAAAAGTGATGAGTTGCTATGTGTTTATCGCTTCAAATACCAGCCAGAAAGGCGGGGGGCTATTTTGAGAAGCTCTATAGTTGGCGCCAGGAATGACAAGATCGTCACAACCGCTGCAATCAAGTTCATGGCTCACTTAGTGAACCAGAAGGCGGGGACTGAGCGCAGGGCAACTTCGCCCAGATGCGCGATGGAGCCTTGTGGAATGTCGACAATGGCACTTGGATGTTCGGCCAAGTTAGTAAGTGGGCCGACCACCCAAGTAAGGGCTCCTAAGCCATGACTTCGGACACATTTTGGGACTTTTGATGGCACATGGAGGTCAAGGACACCCAAAACAAGCTTTCTGATCCCTTTCGAGGGGACGTTAGGGCCCCAAAACGGTTCTCCGAAGCCTTGGATCAGATGCCCCAAGGTCAGCACCTTTCGGGGGGAAGGAGCCTAGGTTTCCGAAGTGGGCTTCCTTACTCAGCTTGCCCACGGGCAAACAGAGGATATCCCTCTCTCTTTCCATTCTCTGCCGTGCAGCAAGGACCAAGAGCACCCAGGAAGACCCTCACGTGGAACCAGGGGAAGACCAACCCCAAAGTTCCAATGTCCTCTTGGCTTTCGTTGTGGTCTCTCGGTTCTGTTTCGTCATTTGGGTATGAGTCAAAATTGCCTCCGAAAACAAGCACACAAACATGGATGGTTTGTGTCCCTTCTCCAAAAAGAGTACCAACTCAGCCCCCCGCCAAAAAAAAAGGGGAGAGGGAAATCAGCGCAAGGTCATTTCGGACATCAACAATACAAGCAAGACAAACACAACCATGAACCAAGCTTCTTCTGCATTTTCCCGCAAAAGAGTACCAACTCAAACAAACACCCATTCCGGAAGCAAAAGAAACCCCTCCTTTAACTTTTTTGCGTGTGTTTGTTTTTGATCGGGGGGAAATGCTCCTTTTGTTTGACACACTGGCCATTGTTATCCATTTTCCGTTTAACCGGCAAAACAAACAAAAGCAACAGAAACTAAACACACAACAGAACTGACTCAAACATAACACGACCCAAACCAAAAGACGCCGAAGCTTGGGGCCGTTTCCCCCGGACGTCAGATCGACGCGTTGTGTGGAAGGGTTCTGCTCGTTTTCTGCTCAGATCTGCTCGGAGCTGCTGGCGTTGCATGTGGCCACCTTGTTGCTGGAGCGCGTGACGGAGGACGACACGAGCAAGCGGCCGCCGGGGGTTCGGGGAAGGTCGCCTTCTATACGTGTCCCTTTGTAGGTTGGCCCAAGAATCGAAGGCGCTGGTTTAGATGTTTTTTGTTTTTTTTTGTTTCCATTTACCAGGGGAACCCATGTATTTTTTTCCAAAAGGACGCCTATGGGAGTGCTGGTATTCTTTCTGTTCTCGCCAAGTTATGGAACCCCCCCTCCCCGGTTTTTGGTGACAAAGCTAAGAGTCACTGTGAGAATGAACCACTTTGTGATCACAAGGCACCCCAACGTGTTTTCTGCTAAAAGAACAGTTGGGAAGTGACCCAAACAAGGCTGTGAGTGGCCAAGCGAACCCCTGACATGAAGTGAGACAGTCTTGTCGTGGGTCACGCAGGGCTGAGTGGCTCAGGGCCGTCTGACTTTTTTCTGCGGAGGACTCTATCGAGGTTTGCGTCAGCTTCCTCCAGGACGGGGGGTTGAGTTGGGGGCTTGTTCCAAACGAAACTGCAACGGGGGACAAAAGAAGGATACCCTCCGAAAAAAAGAAGAAAAAAGGCAAGGAACAGCGGAAGGAGAATTTGGTGTCTTTGGACAGGTGGGTGTTTGGTCCACGATTGTTGCGCGCATTTTTGTGTCACTAGTGTCGAGTGACAGCGCGGTGCTTGACCCACAGCATCGTTTGCTTAGCTTCGCTTGTTTCCAGTTTGTGTAGAACTTAGGCAGCAGCATTGCGACTAAATCCGCGCGCAACACTGCTCGCAACTCTGCTCGCAACTGTCAGTGAGACCACCCAAAGGCTCCTGGGGCTTTCCATGGAAGCCCCGACCCCTCCATCGGACACCTTGAAGGTGTTTGGGGGTCTCAAAACCTGGCTGTTTGAGGGCCCTAAATCAATTGCGAGCCTCTGGGCGCTAAATGGTGGTGTTTCTTGTTGCACTGGTGATGGCACGGAGATCAACGCTGCCGAGCTGCGCTAGCTCCAATCTGCTTGGCAGCCACCAGTGATGGCAACAGACGATAAACTATATTGCCTTCGTGTCATTTAGGCTTCAGCTTGCGAGGAATGTAAACAAGTTGGCCAAAGACTAGAGCATGTCAAGGAATTGCTCTGGTTGAGCGCCTCGTGAACCGTCTCGCCTCCCGGGTCTGAGTGTTTCATAGCCCCGTGCTTTGTGCCGGTTTTGGTTTGGTCAGTTGGCGAGATCATCTTTGAGAGATGTGGAGTTCAGTGGCCTCGCTGGGAATCCAGAGAGTGTTGGCAATCACGTCTGCGGCTGGTAACAGACGATTGAAACCAAGCCTTCTGCCTTGCAAGGGGACTTCTTTTACTCTGACACATTCCGGGTTCGTGGCTGGAGCATCAACGCACGCTCAAAGAGAGTGCTTGACAGCTATTGGCAGCAATGGATGATAGGACTGTGTCCAGATGGGCCTACATAAAGTGACGGTGAGCCATGCTGTAGTCATCAAGCACGGGAAGTGAATGGTCAGTGATTTAGGGGCACATAGTGGGGGGCACGCGATTGTTCCTTTGACATTTGGATAAAGGAATTGCACTGAAGTTTGGTTGGGCGGATTTTTACATTTAGTGTGATTCTGCTCCCAACTCTGGTTCCCACAGGGAGTTTCGGCCCGGGATCCAACATTCACCATTTGTACTTGTATAGTGAACGGGATGACATGACAACTGTGCCATTTTTTGTTTGGAAATTGGCCTCATCCAAATTGGTTGACCAGCCTGTGCCATACTCACCAAATTGCAAGCAGCCGATGACTCGCCAAAGTCCAATGTCACGACAAGTTGAAGAATGAACATTATGACATTGACCGTGGCTTACATCCACCACAGCCCTCCTGTTGTGTACCTGTGCTCAAGACACTACGAGGCTTCAAACTCCCTTCTTCCGAGGGATGTTTTTCAGAGTCTCGGTCAGCGACACAGCTGATGAACTCAATGTTGCTGCCGTTTTGGTCACGGGCCCAGTGGAAAGTTTCCGGCAAGGCGGACATTTCCCAGGCCATACAAAAGAGCAGGTGCTGCACCCCAATGGCCATCGGTTTCAAGGGCTTCGGGTTTTCTGGCTTACCTGCAGGTGAATGGGTATCCAGCCACTTTTTTAAGTGTGGGTACGCGTATTCGGGTTTGAATCAAGCAACAGTTCATCTGGTTTCCTTCTGGTTTCCCGTTGGGCTTCTTGGTATTATATTCATGTATTTTTGGGGTTGTTTGGGTTACCTAGGCGCTTGTGGCTCCCAGCCATCACCTTAGCTCTTTAGGTGTTTTTGTTGGCTCGGTGGTTGGGTTTCCAGTTTTTCAGTTTTAGCAGGGCATTTGAAGAACAGTTCCTGTGGATTCCTTATGGTATTCACCAGCACCCTCCAAGGGTCCATTTGTACCTGCAGCGCTGTTGTGTGAGCCATTTTGGGTACAAATGGACCAATTTTGGGGTGGACCACCCGTGTGGTTTTTTTGGGTGGTTTTGGCCTGTCCAAGCGCCCATGGACGAATTTTCCTGGGACGTCGCGGCGTTTTTCGGCCTCGATCCGTCCGCCAGGAAGTGGGCCAGGCGCTGGAGGATCTCTCGAAGTCCGGGTGCCAGGCCATCTTCGAGCGGCGGGGGCCTCGGGGAAAAGGATGAGGAAAATCGAATCCCCTTTGGGGGGCTGGGTTGTGGTGGAGGGACCCCCCCCGACTTTTTCCGGGTTCTTAAATGAGCACCAAAGGAAAGCACCTCCTTCTTTTTTTTTTGGGCGGGGTAGCCCATCTTTTCGGTCTTGGTTTCTTAGTTGGAGCTGGGAAGCCCCGATAGAACATCTCAAGAGAGTAGTTTGATGTCGCTGGAAAATGGGCCAAGCCTTTCGCAGCTTTGCACGTGTGCTGGGCTCTCTTGGATGGTGTTCAGCTTCGAGCGGAATAGGAATACTTTGATGATCCTCGCATTTTACACCCAAGAGTCTCTTCAAGAATCATCCGCATTTTAATGAGTGCAACATGAGTGCCCCTTTGTTGAAAGTCACCTGCGAAGTCGTCAACACATTGTCCACACATCTTCAGCTGTTCCAGCCAGACACGATTCTGGGCTCCGGCAAGGTTCCGCACGATTCTGCACGAGGGTGAGATTGACAAGCGCGGGCCCAAGTGTCAGATTCACGTGTGGAGCGCCACGTTTGTAGATGACCCATAAGTATGGCTTCGGGTTTCCATTTGAGTTTCCCTTAAGAGCAAAAAACAGGCGTACCCACAAGAAGACACCTAGATACAAACGGAGACACAAGCGATGCAAGAGTCAGATCTTCGAGTTGTTTTTTGCTGGAAGGAGGGTGCAGTACGTCATCGAAGGGCTCTTCGAGACGCGAAGGAAGAAGTTCAGCGACCATCCTATGGCCGCTTGGTTTCATTGCAGGTATATACCCTCCCATCTTCATCAGTCGTGGAACCTGACTGATGGGGGCCCTGGAAGACTACTTTCCTTTGAAAGGGACCCTCTGTGTTCCAAGTTCGTGGACAGGCTATGCAGAGTTTTCTCACACGCATTGCTCACACTTCAGACTTCAGGTTCTCGAGGAGCTTGACCTGGTTGACGATGATGATCAGATTACGCACGAGGCCGTTAGCTGTAGCGAGCCTATGCCGGGGTCAAAATGAAATGAGCACAGGACGCAGGTGGTTAGGCATCCTTGATTCAGATTGGCCGAAAATCGAGTTTCGTGCAGATGCATGCGCCATTCTTCTCGTCTTCTTGTGTCAGGTGGACTTGCTCGAGGAGACCGTCAAAGGCGAAGAAACACTGAACATCTTCAAAGCCGGAGCCTGAAGACGCAGAAGTACAAAAAGGGAGTTGTCATAATATGATGGCAGAATTCGGACCTTCGACGATCAACTGAGAAGAGCATATGAGGCCCCGGTTGAACAGTCCAGTCGTTTGTGCTCAACTTGGGCGGGACGGGGACTCACTAAATATCAATCACAAAAACCAGGGAAACCCAAAGGACAACCATCCATTTTAGGAATCCGTATTTTGAGAAACACCGATATACTGTAAGCTACTTCATGGAAAAGCGTGTCCCACACGGAAAGACGGATCCTTAATGTTCCCCTGGCCATTACTGCGTTGATCGCAGAGGTTGTGAGTGCCACCTTCTCACAGAAACGAATATGAACTTCGGGACAACGGAGGTAGAAATCAGGGGTGGCAAGCCCCTTGCAAGGAAATTCATTCTATCTTTTGGGGGTGACTGAGTGGGTAAAGTTCACATGGGGCTTCCCCCGTCTCCGGCTGCAGTTTAGCCAAAAAGGCGCGCAGTCTCCAGATTGGGCACTACATCGGCCCGTGTTGTGCACAATTGGTCCAAAATAGAAGGCACTGGTTTAGATGGGTTTTATTCCATTTGCCAGTGCTATCTATTTTTCCAAAAGGACACCTATCAGACTTTCTATGGACTCTTTGAAGGGCTTCACTAAAACCACGATTTTATCAGAAGGGTCCTGGGTGACGATTCGGTTAAAGAAGCGTCCTGGCTGTGAAGTCCGGTGAAAAGGCCGAGGCACCCCCAAGTGTGTCTTTTTGGAGGAGTATACGGGAGGTGTCTTTCTTTAGGGGATCCGCAAAATGGTGGTATTCCTTTTGGTGTCCCTTGAAAGACCTCAAAAAAGGGGGTTGCTTTCAGAAAAGCAAGGACAGACGCACATCCTGTTGTCGAGGGCCAAAGGCAAACATCGTGTTTCACCCCAAGTTCCCTTCAGGCGATACCGCCAGAGCAGTACGCTGCTGATGAGGATCGTGGGGGTTTTAGGGAAGCTGGCTTTCGTCGTTGGGAGCAGGGGATGTGGGTTTGGTTTGGAGTTGGCAGTTTTGGTTGTTTTACTTCTAAGGGAAATGTTTGGAGACACTTTATGGATTCCTTTTTTGAGAGAGACTTAAGAGTCGGAACTCGTTGGTGTCACCTTGATTTGCACAGCACCCATGCAACTCGGTTTTGCTGCCGCATTGGCTACATAGCTTTCCGCACAAACTCTGTTTGTCCGCGTGACGGCTTCAAGTATTTGTCTCAGCAGAATGCCCGACAATGCTACGCGAGCCCGATAGGGGCCATCAAATACCGATACCTGCATCAGCAAAAGCGATAGGGGACCATCAAAACTTGATGGACAACAGCATATATACCAAAAACTGATGAACATAAATATACACAACCAACTGATGGTTTACTTTTACAGCCCTATGCGACGATGAATACACCAACAATCCCTTTCTAAGGCACCAGCAAAAGCCACCCATAGCCCTTCTCCCCCACGGATAGGGGGCCCGTCACAATAGGCTCCCTAAAAGGAAATTGGAAAACACCACTGGTTTAGAGGATCTCTTGAGACCCAGCTTGTTGGCTTTTGTCAATCCCCGCGCAACGCGCTACTTATAATGTTGAGCGATTTGATGAGCGGTGGGATCGATCTGCGAGGCCAAGTGGAAGCTGATCTCCAGCGAGATCTTGGGCTTGGAGCAGGCACGCCATGTTTTTGATTCATGGACAGATTCTTGTTTGCCCCATCCATGGCCTTGGTATCAAAAATTTAAACATATCTTCCATGGTCAGCAGCGCTCCTGAAAGGCACAATGCCAAAACGATGGGGGTCCCTTTGGTCAGCCCCTAATCTAGCCGAGCGCGATTTGCTTCGAGTCACTGAGCCTTTAGAGGGAGTCAACAGCTGGCTGTCTCTAGGTCAACCAGGCGATTTGGGTGAGGGAGCCACGACCCATGGTGTTTCGCGTGCATGTCGCACGAGGTTCACGCTGCAACGTCCTTGAAGTGCTGGGAGAAGTCACCGCTGTTTGAATATATTTCCATATACAGAACAAAGATACGCTCCCACAGATGTAATATCATGCATATCTATATAGTAGTCTATATGTATAGTATGTATGTATGTATGTGTCCGTCCATATCGCCTCGCTGGGGCGACGGCTAGGACGAAGGCAGCGACAGCAGCGCGGATTCGGACGAGGAGGCGGACGCCGCAGCTGATCGGCGGGCGCAGGACCGAGCTGAGAAACGGGATTCGGCGCCGGATGTGTTGTGTTTTCTTTTGGTTTCCAAAACAACGAACAGCCGTTGGTGTCCTTTTTAGGTTGTGGTTAAGAATAGAAGGCACTGGTTTCCGTTTATTTGCCCAGTTGGTAAGGGTTCCCTTTCGAACTCAACCGACAAAAAAAGATGCCCTTTTTTTTTCCGTGGCCACTGGGCATCTGAGTTTTGGTTTCCAAAACGACGAACAGCGCGAAGCAGAGCGACCCAAGGGAAACCCAAAGGGAAGCCAAGTTTGAAGGGAGACCAAATTGTGTCAAAGAGTTTCAAGGGAAACCCTCAGGGTTCCAATACAGAAAATACATCAAGCCACCTGCTGAATGCAGGGTTGTTGTTTTTTTAAGTGGCCCAGATGTCTCCTTTGAGAGCCTGAATGCTTTTTGTCGAAGGTACCCCTTTCAAGTTGGTTCAAAGGAAAATCGAAAGGAACACCGAAAAGCATTTGGGTGGGCACAACCCCAACAAGGCGCCCTAAAAGCAAAACACATACTCGTATTGTTCGTTTGAGCTGAACCCTTTGTGTTGGGATTGTGTTGAAAGGGAGCCACAGGAAAAAGAAAGCCCATTGAGAAGCGTTCCTCCATTGTAAGACGAACCCATGCTTCAACGACCGGCGCAACGCCTCCTTTCTCTATTGGCTGGTGACAACACAGAGGTGTTGTCCTGCATGGCGCCCAAGGGGACACTTGGAGTTAGATGATTTGGTGTCGCATACGCCAAATCGCACACCTGCACACCGCACACCTGAAAATGGTATTGAACACGTGAGTTGTATGACTTTTGAGGCAAACTGACCCTTTGTCTCCTGCAAAAAGGACGTGACCATGAGAGTGACCAAACTGGGCTCGAGTATAACTTCTGAAGATGCTGGAGAGATTGGGGTTAGAGTCCCTGGGCAGAGTTGACATCACCGTTTTGCGGGCTTCAAGTGGAGACCCGGGCCAAGTCGAGAGGAGAAAATCCTGGACTTCACGGAGCAAGACCTGGTGAACCTCCGAAGGCCTGGGTTTTCGAAGTGCCAGGCCTTTGATTTGTGGCTTTGTGTCAGGCAGATCTATCTCGTCATCATGTCCTCTGTGCACTTCGAGGCCAACGTTGCACACGCCTTCTTTCCTCTCACAAAGCACCTGACAGATCTTGCCTGATTGCAGGAGTGCGTGCACAAAATCCTCAAGCTGAATATCGCCGAAGGACAGGAAAAGGAGGCGCGCTCCGTCTATTCCTGGCACTTGCTGAAGGTAGATTGCTCAAGGGCACACCACAACATATCAAATCAGGTTTGCACGATGCTGATTGATTGCTGCGCGATGGAGAAGATGTTCAACAGGCAGGAGCTTGGTGTTGTTGGTGTTGTTGGTGTTGTTGGTGTTGTTGGTGTTGTTGGTGTTGTTGGTGTTGTTGGTGTTGTTGGTGTTGTTGGTTGTTGTTGTTGTTGTTGTTGTTGTTGTTGTTGTTGTTGTTGTTGTTGTTGTTGTTGTTGTTGTTGTTGTTGTTGTTGTTGTTGTTGTTGTTGTTGTTGTTGTTGTTGTTGTTGTTGTTGTTGTTGTTGTTGTTGTTGTTGTTGTTGTTGTTGTTGTTGTTGTTGTTGTTGTTGTTGTTGTTGTTGCTGTTGCCGTTGCCGTTGCCGTTGCCGTTGTTGCCGTTGTTGTTGTTGTTGTTGTTGTTGTTGTTGTTGTTGTTGTTGTTGTTGTTGTTGTTGTTGTTGTTGTTGTTGTTGTTGTTGTTGTTGTTGTTGTTGTTGTTGTTGTTGTTGTTGTTGTTGTTGTTGTTGCTGTTGCTGTTGCTGTTGCTGTTGCTGTTGCTGTTGCTGTTGCTGTTGCTGTTGCTGTTGCTGTTGCTGTTGCTGTTGCTGTTGCTGTTGCTGTTGTTGTGGTCGTTGTGGTGGTCGTTGTTGTCGTTGTCGTCGTTGTCGTCGTTGTCGTCGTTCTCCGTTCTCGTCGTTGTGATCGTTGTCATCGTTGTCGTCGTTGTCGTCGTTCTCCGTTCTCGTCGTTGTTGTTGTCGTCGTTGTCGGTGTCGCTATTGATGTTGTTGCGGTGGTGGTTGTTGTTGTTGGTGTTGTTCTTGTGGCGGTTGTGGCGGGCGGGTGGTGTTGGCGGTACGCGTGTCTGCTTTTTGCTGCACTGGGACACTCTTTGGAAGTTTGGCTATTGGCCTGCTGCAAGGTTCTTCGTGCTTCAGGCGCGCATCCGGAAGGGCTGGAACTTGCCTAAATGGATTGGAACAGCTTGAGAGACAACCCTTGGGCGTGTCCCACCCTGGGGTTTTCTTGTTGGTTTCCCTACAAAACAAAGCAAAAAGGGCGGAGACACCCATTTGTTGCGGCCACCCATTCGGCTGCTCAGGCGGAACGCTTGTGCCGCCTGAATCCGATATACCAGGCGGGGTGGGACTTGATTCTGGACAATCCACCCCGATCGGATGGTCTGTTTTGTGAGGACTGGGATAAGCCAGCAATCCTGGGTGCGAGCTTGAGTTTGGCCATCCGGGCGGAACTAGTGCAGGTGATACAGGCATATGGGGCCCGCATCATGTTGTGTTTCCCATTGGTTGGTTTTTTGTTAAACAACCCCCCAAGGTATAGTGACTCAACCAGGAGGCAAGCTGACTTGAGCAGTGCTCCTAACTTCTTTAGCGTTTGATTTGAGGTTATTGTTTGGCGGGTAAAAAAGAAGCCCACCTGGGCGTGTGCTTTTGTTGAGGGTACGAGATATATGCACGGATAAGCGTTGGAACATCTCTTGGTGATTTGTTGCGTTTTTGTTTTCTGTTTCTGTTTTTTATTAAGACCCCATGCACAACACGGACTATCACCCGCCTAGACCATGAATCGCAAATTCAACATACATTCATGAGTGTGTGTCGAAGTAGGAATTGTTCCTTTTGTTTCTTTTAAGCCAAGCCCCAAAAAGCGTAATTACCAACTCAAAAACACAGTCCCATATGAAGTCGTCTTTGGCGACGAGAGGACAACTTCACCGAAGCCTTCGGCGTGCAGTTCAACACCGTGCACAGGTGCGCTTCGAGCAGATCCGTCGCTTCGTTTCTTTGTGGCTCACTTAATTGGTGAAGCCTACCTCAGGCCAGAAGAACCCCTGGTTCTCGTAGATGGAAAGGACACAACCCCTATCCTCCAGACCACCAATCTAAAGCAGGTGTCCCCCCAAAGAAAGAGAGAGAGAGAGAGAGAGAGAGAGCGAGAGAACCCCAATTTTGTCTTTGTTTGTCAGTAGGCAATCTTTTTGGGGTTTGAGAATGACCCACTTGCGGAGATGCAGGTTCACAACCTGCCTGAAAATGCGTTGCGCCCCCCACCCCCTTGAAAAGGGAGAAACAACCCTGAAACCCCTGTTTTGGGGGTCAGCCACATGCCACCTTGCCATAAAAGATAGATGTGGTAAGTATCCCTTTCCTTAAACAAAAAAATGGGTACCTGCCAGGTTTTGAAGACTCAAAGAGAAATGCGCTGCCAGGTTAGAAACCAACAAGCTGCGGAACATTGGGAAGTTCTTTGCCCATCTCCTCTATACGGACTGTGCCGAAGTCGATGTGCATTCCGCTTGGCCATATGTTGCATAATTGGGTGTGCAGCTTGTTCTCGGGGGACCCATCAGGAAGTGGGACTTTTGCCACCGAGCATTTTGGGGGGGCAGCCAAAAACACCTTTGACTCCAGCAGTCCAGATACCGCGGTCTCCGGCCTGCCCGGCTCGCCCGCGCTCGTCACACGTGGCCGCTTCAGGATGCAATTCCTTGGAGTATTTGGGCGCAGGCATTGGCGCAACCGATTTCTAGGTGGCTCCACTTGGGTTTGGGATAGCAAAGCCTAACCTTTGTAACTAAGCCAGAAAAGTGAATGGGTTAGGGCCGATGTTCAGGTGAAGATCTCCGAAGAAACCACGACCTCCAGCTCCCGTATCTTCATCAAGGCGCCGACGGATTTCGCGCTCACAGGCATGTTGCTTTTTGGGATTGTGGTTTCGTCGTAAACCTCCATTTGCTCAAGCATCTTGATTTTCTTTATTCTCCCCCCTTGGTCTTAAAGGGAATCCACCACTACTGGATGTTTTTTTGTTTCAACAAATACATTTAAAAACATCTACGGGACTTCAGCAAATGGAAGCTTTCAGCGTCCAAATGTTGACGGCGCCACAACGGAGGCCTACCATGTGAAATTCACGGCGTTTCGGGATGAAATCATGACAGGGGGGGGTCCGCTTTGACACATGGCTGTGGTGGTCAAAACCAATGGTACCCCTGGTGAACATCAAAATAGGTGGCAAATGGATGTTCATCCACCCCAAAATGGGATCGCCATAGGTTATGCGGTTATGCCCCATGGCCACATAGCCTTTTGTGTGGTGGGGGGGAGGGGAGAAGCGCCACGCGCATGTGGAATGCCTTGAGGTGATCTTCCAAGAGCTTTCTGAACAGCCAGCTTCTCAGCATCTCAGGATTTCAGTCACAGCTTCTGGTGCAAAATGGTTGGCCGTTGCATCCTGACAGTCATTCTCAATTGGGAGTGTATTTTTGTTGAGTACCCCAAATGGGATCCCCCAAAACCGGATCCCCGAAGCCAAATCATTTTGAGCGTTCCATTGTGACGCAGCCCATGTCGGGCATCTCTTGGGGTATCCAACCCTTCTGAGAAGTCCCGCTACAGGTGGGGCATCAAGAAGCTGGTGGATCGACTTCGGGAGGAGGAGTTGAAGCCCTTCTTCGTGGGCCTCTTCCCCAAGGAGAGGTGCTGAGGTCATGCTGTGGATGGACAAAATCCACTTCGCACCACACAATGATACCATGGTGGAAACCATGATTTGCCGGTATTTGCAGGGGGATGATCAGAAACCATCTCTTAGGTGGTGCGAAATGGATTTCGTCCACGGACAGTAGGTGTCCTTTTTGGGATAGGGTGGTTAAAAATAGATGGCACTGACTTAGATGGGTTTTGTTCCATTTACCAGGGAAACCCATATATATTTCCAAAAGGGCACCTATGGCTGAGGTCTTAAGCCGCGTCTTTGAGCGAACCGCGACTGAACACCCTCCACCTCACCAGGTGGTTCTAGCCGGTCTGACAACCTAGGTTCAGGCCAAGGTGGGTGTGTCTTTCTGTAGGGTAGCTCTTTTTTGTGGTTGTAGAGGGAAGCCAACAGGAAAACCGAAGTCCCCTAAGAAAAACTCACACACACACACACACAACTGGGCTCCTTGGCTGGGTGCGGGTTGCTCTAAAGCCCTTGGGCATGATCAAAGGGTCCGGTAAACATGGGATGACCATGGTTTGGAAAACCACCGACAAAGATTGATATTTCCCATTAGTTGGAAAAGGTCACCCATGGTCATCAACCACTTTCCAGAAATCCTCGGTAGGTCATTCGGAATCACACACGGCCCACACACACACACACACACACAGGACCATCCAAAGAACGTCCGCTTTGCCATCAACTACTTCACTGCCATCGGCTTGGGCGTCCTCACTGAGGACGTTACCGCTCGCGTTGCCCATGCGGCAAGTTCGTTGCTCGGCTGGCCATGACAGTAGTCAGTTTGCAGACCAAGACTAAGAGACAAGAGGTTCGGTCAAACATTTGCAGCAGTCTACAACCTGGGATTCTGTGGGTGTGACTGGCTGGCGGCTACTCGTTTCGGGGGCAAGTGGTTTTGCGTTTGAATGGTTGAAACAGCCACGCAAATGGGAGTTTACACAAGTTCCAATAGATGTCCACCAAAGGGCCAACCAATTGGAAGAATTGCCATGCACGTTGTGTAAAAGTGGAAGTGGACCTCGGTGCTTTTCCTTTTTGTTCCCCCAAGTGGTTCCATTTGACAGATCTCAGAGATACCATCCTCAGGGTCCAAAGGGTGAGTCGTTTCAACCCCCGACGGTTCGATTCAGGGAACCAACAGGTGCAAAGAAACGTTTTTCAGCCAGCTGGCCCAACCCGACAGATCTCCCGGAGGCAAACTTCACCAGAGGTTGGACAAACGAACAAGCGGGGATACGGAGGGAGCGGGGATGTGGGGGGATTCCAACTTGGCGCCATTTCCTAAATCAAACTTAGTCAAGGTGCATCAAACGGGGGAATTCTCAAGCGCATCCAACTGGTCCCCTTGTATCCCTACTTGGTTTTCTTGACTCAGGCTCCAAACGGCCTGACGCTCGCTCCGTTCGGCAGGACCTACGCTCCTTCCTGGAACAGGCCAACGCGCAAGCAGCAGCCGAGGCACAGAAGGCGGAGACGGCGAAGCACGCACACGTGGCGTGGTTTGTGCACACCATTGCCTGTATGATATGTGGCTGTGGGTCAAAAATAGGTAATTACCCAAAATGGAACCCTGGTAAATGGAACCAAGGACTAAAAAAAATGACCCATACCCATGTGTATACAAAGAGATTATATGTTTCTTTTGGTGTGCGTGCTTCTTCTTTTTTTTGGGGGGAGCTTCCTTTTGGTTAGCTTCTCTGATGTAATTACTCTGGATGGGCCAAATCCTGCAGGGATGGAATTCGTTGGCTTATCCCAGAGGTTTCATCCATAGTTTCCAGGCGCAAAGTGGGCAGTATGTCGGTGTGTCTTTCTTTGAGGGTACCCCCTTGTTTTGAGCCGTATTGGTGACATTCCGTGCTTCGTCCCTTTTACCTCGGTTTCAGGTGGGGCCTTCAAAAAGGGGATCTAACGAGGGGTCCAGAGATTCACTGCAGGCTGCGGAGGAACGTGCCATGGAGGCGCGGCTGTGGCTGACAGGGGCTGACTGCCAGAATGAGCGTTCTTTTTGCCGGGCTTCTCTTTCATTCGTTGTCCTTCGATTCTACTTTGATATCTTTCCGGCGTCCCTTTCTTCCGAAAGCTGCAATTGTCCAGTTTCACTGCGAAGGGCCGGAGCAAGCAGGAGTCCTGTTCCTCCTCGTCCTCCTCCTCCTCGTCCTCGTCCTCGGATTCTGACTCTGACAGTGACGATAGCTCGGACTCTGATAGCTCAGATAGCTCAGACTCCTCGGACTAAACCAGTGCATGCAAAATGTACTTGCGATTGACTGGAGGGCCGTCGACCCAAACTGGAACTCATTCTGCACAGATGCTTGTCGTCGTGCATCTGTGTCTGGGTTCAAGCTAGATCTTTAGACGTGCAATCGAAGAGTTGATCATTGAGAGCCGTAGCGCTGGCCAAGGAGGACAGGACATGCGCAAGCTCTTGGCAGGAAACAAGATGTGGTTGCTTGGGTGTTTTTTTGTTTTTCAGGGCACCCATTTGAGGTAAATTTAAAGGGAAGCCCAAGGTTCCCACATGTAAAGACCCCAAGTTCCCTTGAGTCGAGAGCTTCTTGAAGCTCTGCATCAGGAGACCTCATGCCAGAGGCCACAGATCAGGACTGCTGGTCGACATATGGCTGTGGGTCAAGAAGAGGTACCCAAAATGGAACCCTGGTTCATGGAAAGGACAAACACCTGCGCTCTTTTGGTGGAATAAGTTTGTTCCATATACCCATATGAGAAACGGTCAATATTTGCCATTGACCTGGATGCAAGCGGGACGTGGATCACGTGAGCACCATACCACGGGGGAATGGCGGCTGCTCACCAATATCCTATGTCAGTTGGGGTTGGGGACGTAATGCATATCGACGGGTCTCTGCCTTAATTCTTTGTCTTGGGCCTCGCGAGCCTTGCAGGGGCGCATGGCACGCGCCCGTTCGTTTTTGCCCCGCACGACCTTCGCCAGGGGAGAAACAAAAAGCAACGGAACTCACCAAGCTGTCGTTTTTAGAAGCATCTCCGAACCCTTTGGTGGTTTCCGTACTGGTCATCCTTGGGCCGCGTTTCGCGACGAAAGGTTGGAGATTTCAACGTTTCTTCAGCTCAAGGAACTCTCCCTGCAAATAGCAATGAGAGCTGATCACAAGCTAGGACCACCTTGCATAACGGTTGAGAAGCATGGAATCTTTGGCGGAGGCCTTTATCAGATTCTACTTATTTGTGGGTCTTCAGTTGTGTGTGGCCCAAATCCAAAAACAGAGCAGCACAGAAAAGAGCAACATCAGATGCATGGCCAAAACAGGCTTGATCATTGCCACATCGACTTGCCTAAAGCCAGTGAGCAATGCCTCGCCTGCTTTTGCCCTTTGCCCTCGTGGCAGCGGCTGCCGGGAGTTGGGACAGCACAGAAACCGAGGATTTGAGTGCCCTACAGCTGCGGAAGGCTGATGAGCCGCCCATGCCTAGCCTCTGCGGGCTCACGCCCAAACTGGTCGCAGTGGATGGGCATGTGCTGCCGTTTTCGACCAATGGGACCGCGAACAACCTCCACTCGGCAGTGCAACACATCATCCATGAGCATCTTGGCAAGCTGTATGTGACGTACGTCTTCAGCGTGGGCAAGCACATACAGTACTACTACCCCACCTTCTGCACCATCCCCTGGGCCCCAGGCGCCGTGCAACCGTGCCAGGAGACCAAGATCAATGCGGCCATTCCGCCAGGTGGCTACTCAGACATCGCGGTTGCCCAAATCAACGGCACGACGCATGTGGTGCTGATCGCGGGTGATGCTGGCACTGCTGAGGATGGCAGCAAGAAGACCACCGACTCGGTCGTCCTCCTCTTTGACGGCGCCTTCTCCGCGCCAACGACACTGGAGACTAGCAGTCCGCCGGGCACAGGGCACAAGGCCGCGCGCGGAGCGAACTTGTTGTGGCTCCCGCCCTTTGCCGGCGCGAACGGCGACCTTATTCGACCAGAGGGGCCCACTGCAGTCGTCTCAGGCGAGTTAGGCACGAAGTTCTTCGCGCCGCTTCGCACGAGCGCGGGCCTTGCCTACAGAAGCACTCCGGACCTTACTCTGGCTGCGCAGGGGGACTCCGTGAACCTGGCCGCGTCACTGGACGACCGGACACTGGTTCTCACCGCGAGGAGCCGCTGGAAGGATGCCTATGGGACCAAGGCCCTGGACGCTCCGAACATGGTTTACCAAATCCAAGCCGACGGCTCACTGCAGCAGACGGCGAACTTCTCGAAGTCCTGCCAGAGCGTGGACGTCTCGCGGCTCAGCGTCGCGCCGCACCTCTTCGCCGTGGGCAACGGCGGCGAGGCGGACTTCGCCCAGGTGAACCACTTGCTGTGGATCCCCCCCAACGCGGCGCCCACGCGGAGGTCCACCTGCGCGCCGCAGGCCAAAGCCATGAGGGCCATGGGGCTCGAGGGGTTGAAGTCGGTTGAAGTCGTTCTGCACAGGCTTCAATGTGAAATACCTGCTTTGTTCAATGAATTGGAGTCCAGAGCTCTAGACCGTATGATACGAACGAAACTGCTATGTTATATAACGACGCTGCGCGAGCTTGTGTGTCTTTCTGCAAGTATTCGCAGCTCTCTCTCTCTCTCTCTCTCGCTCTGCCCTGTGAACTGCACCCTTAAAGACTTGATGGGTGCCTGGGAGAATGATTCCAACAACAGTTTTCTCAAGACGGGGTTGAGATGGGACTTAAAAAGGTTGAAGGATCCGCGCTCTCCTCAATGCTCTGGATGATGTTGAAGAGATGCTCAGCTTTTGGGCGGCAGCGAATCAGTTTCTTAAATTCTGGGCCACGTTCGTGATCCTGGTTTTCTTTGCTTTGGTTGCCTCTTCATGCAGTGCCTTGGAGGGGCTCATTTCTATTCCTGTGCGGGAAACTGCCCTGTGTTTCCGAGCTTCGTTGGACTAGGGCCGACTTAGCATATATATTATGAGGCCATTTAATGTAATTGTGTGGAAACTGTTTTGCGCTGCGCTCCGGCATTCAAAGCGAAAGATCATGCAGTGTTCGCTTCGCAATGTTCATATTAGCAATATAGCACGGTTCAATTCTGCTGCATCCTGCTTCCGAAGGCTGCAACGGCCAACATGAGCTGCGACAGCGGCCCGGCAGCGACCGGGCCCCCTGTGCCGACGAGCGACGCGGACAGCTTTGACACGAGGACACGCAAGACGCTGAGTGCCACACTCGGGGGCAACACCTACCTGCTGACTGTGAACAGCTGCCAAACCTCCTACGTCCTCCGCTACCTGCGAGGAGCCGCCGTCGAGCTCTTTCAGCTCGAGGGAAGCCGTGACTGCGGCGAGAATGAGGACTACTTCGTCCGCGGGGGTGACATCGCTTGCTTCGGAGGCTTTTGTCGTGTGGCACTCACGGTGTACAACGGGAGTTCCTTGTTGTACTCGCTGCCGAGGCCGTACGCTCGGTGGCGGCGGTGGTTTCATCGTTGGCGGAAGCAGCGGGGATAGGGCCCAGCAGCACGGCTCTTGGGGACTGCGTCTTCCCATAATGGGACACCCCAGGAATTAAGGAGACAGGAGACATCGTCTGTGCACAATGCGCCAACTCCCTGGAACAATATGGTCACTGGGGGATCCCAGCTTCAGTTTGTCAACTTTTGAGAATTCTAAAATCCCTTGGCTCCGCCTGTGGCGACTCCTTGGCACAAAAGGGGCGCGTTTCTCTTGAAAATCTTGAGGGCAGTTAAAGCAAAACATGCAAAACGATGTCTTCCCAAGTAGCGGCCCAGCGCTGCGCGTCAACTGAGCGTGCCCCTCTCAAACAGGTTTATGTGCCGATTCTTGGCCTGGAGAGCTTTTTTGGGTGTAGGAGTTGGTAGTTTACAGGTTTCCAGTATGTGCCAGGACCGCTGTTTGGAATCCGGACACGGGCTATGGCCACGATGCAGGTGAAAGCGGCTGCTGAGGCCGGGCCACACATCTGAAGTTAGCTACGCCCATGTCGTCAAAATGTCCAGTCTACGGTTCACAAGGAAGGGGTATAAGCCGAATTTCCTACTTGGCACGGGAGTGAAGGACTGCCCGCTCGAAGGCTCGAAGCGCGCGAATTTGGGGGGGGTAGTCCGACCCAAGCGCCCCACGCAAGAGCTCAGAGGTCAAGCGCAACTCATCGCCAGAGAATCGACCGTCCTTTTGCCTTGCGCGCCATGACGACGCCAGCCCCGGAAGTGGAATCCGAGAAGCTACCCAGCCTCTGGTATGTTGGCATAGGCGGGACGTGAGGCCCTAAGCCCAAAGACCAGGGCTTGAGGCCGGGGCACTGATTTTCCCGTGTCCTTTTGGGAAAACCTGTGTGATTCGACGCGCTTGTTGCTGATGTCCACAAAGGGGCGTTTTGATGAAGATTCAAACCCGTGTCGGTTTGGCTGAAAATGGGGGCACCCATGGATCATTTCGGTGTGGTTGAGTATCGGTTTTGGGGTAGGCCATTCCCTCTCGGTTTCCAGTCGGGATAGACAAACACATCCTGTGCAAGCGACAACCCACCTAACTGTCGCTCATAGTTCGCACAAGTCGCAATGGGTTGCGATCCCCTTGTTCGGGCTCCAAAACAGTTTTAGAGGGGTTTTCGGAGTCGTTCTCCTATGGTCTCCTAACATGGCAAGGGCTGCCTTTTGTTGCCAACCAAAAGCGGGTCCGAAATCCGTCTAGTTGGGAAGCTCCCACATTGTAGATACGGCAAAATAGGATGAGTCCCAAAAAAATGATTTGTTGTCCCTTGGGTTTCCCTTTTGGACTCCAAATGGCAAGGGTTCCCTGTCCAAATTTCCTCCCAGACCCATATGCTCCTCCCAAACACGGGTACCATATTATGACACATTCAGGCTGCATTTCTGTTGAGAATACAGCTTTTTGGGTGAGCTTTTTATGGGAAACCACCAGAAAATCTGAGAAAGATCCGTATTTTGGGGGTAACTTAAGGATCGACACACGTCCGACAGGCCTCGAGATCTTCTCCAGCATGTGCGGAACTGCGGGGAAGATCTTCGTGCGGCTGTCCAGCCTCCAGAAGCACAAGCATCCGCTGCTGTCGAAGTGCTTGCCACTGGACAGAGAAAAGCCAGATGAGATTGGCCTTAAGAAGAACTATTTGGCTGTGGCTCAAAAAACCGGTACCAAAATGGAACCCTGGTAAGTGGAAAAATGGACCAAAACCTGCGTAACCCCTCCTGCTTAATTTTGAGCCACAGCCATTTGGCGGGTGTGTGTTTTTTGAGACGAAGGATTCCCCCGTCTCTCAGTGGCCCCGTCTTTTTCCGGATTGTTCTTTTTCGTACGAGAACAATTCCCCCAAAGGGGGAGCTACAGCCGTATATGTGCCCTTTGCTTCAGGTTCCGAGTCGGCCTTTTTACCAACACCGTCGTTGGCCCCTTGATCGACGTCTCTGCCTATAGTTTTGCGCCTCAGTCCCTGGTGGCGCCCTTTGGAGGACATCGATCCGATCGGAAAGATCTCGACTTCGCGAAATCGAATTTCATCGATCCGATTTTTTGCAAGGAAATGTTTGGAACAGCTCCAGAAGTGGTTGGCTTAAGCAAACAAATCCGTGACGAGCGTCCGGTCAAAAATCCTTTAATCGGGGATAAAACGTTTCATGTTCTGGAACTCTTGAAAAATCGAGGATCACTTAGCAATGTGTTTCCCAGCAGTGCCAGGCCTTGATGTGGTGTGGAACGCCCTTTTGGCGCCTTTCATTCTCGAAGAGAAGCTGACGAGGCCTGGCCCGCGAGAAGCCCGGGGGTTGGGCAACATGGGAAAACCCAGCCCTGAGAACCTCAGCCACACGCACGCGGTTTGCTTTTTTTTTTTTTTAATAGTGGCGGGACCGGAGAAAGAAAGACATGTCTGAGCCCTTGAGGGATCCCCCCAAAATACTCCGCCTCAAGAACGTAGTCGGGCGGAATAGGGCTTGTAAAACGAAGGCGACCCTTATAGGAAGGAAGCCTGCGAAAAGGTGAAACGCCTGCAAAAAGAGGGCGACCCTGGCGACCCTTTAAAACGAAGCCTCCAGACATATTTCATGTTTGCACCTTTTGATTTTGGAGAGAGCTCACGTAGAATAGTTTGCTGAATCGGGGTTGAGTTTTTTTGGGAATACTCTTTTGCGGGTTGTTCAAAGGTAAAGGAAAACCAGCCATTTTGGGGTCCCCTTTTGACACATACCCAAATCCTGGTTTTTCAGCGTACGAGTTTCATTGAGATCGAAACCCTGGAAACCCGAAGGCACCGCGCAGTGGGCAGCCTGCTAGTAATGCTCGGCAGCATCGGCTCCGCCTGTTTCGGCAACCAAGAGGCCAGGCTCGTTCGCATTTCGTGCGCGTTGCAGTGTGGCACTTGGTTTGCCTGCTCAGGATCCATTGTATACCATCGAATACATTGAAGCGACGCTGTTCAATGAGCGCGTCCTGATCTACTTCATAGTCTTCTTGTTGTGGCGCCTGGATGCATAGGCTGTGCGCTTGCGATCTTTTGGTCCTGCTTGCTTGCAGAAGAGCACTACAGCTTTGCGGGGTTCTCAAAGTCCAATGGGGTTATTTGGGGTTATTTCCCTTTATAATATGCAATCAGGGGGTGACTTTGATCGCAAGACAGCGGGGCCCGTCGAAACTTGGCAAGAACTTCATTCGCATTCTGCGCCCCATGCGCACCAGGCAAGATGACACCCTAACACTGAGATACACCCCCTGACTGGTGCAAGGCTTCGTCTGTCCACAGTATGGCTTTGTTGATGATTGCAATGCGGAGCACCATTAAACTGATTATCGTGGACATACAATCCACGAGTAAATGCCCACCAAAATGTCCCCTAATCCGCTCCCCCAATTAATGAATGACCCCAATTAATAATAAATGCAAATCCGGGGCCCGGGACCAGATTTCCCTCCACACAATTGATTTTTAATTGCGCCAATACTAAACCAATACTAAAGTCTTGGAATCCTTATTAGGGGGCACTTTTGGCAAGCTTCCAGCCTCACTTTTCAACAGGTGGGTTCCTCAATTCCCCAAAAGGTTGCTTTCCCAAAAGCTGGCTTCTTAAAAGGTTGGGTTCTTTTGGTGGGTTCCCAAAAAGGTTGTTCTTGACTCTGTTGTCCCTGGCTGTCCCTGACTTCCTGGCTGGCTGCGTTTGTCACCTGGCTGCGGTCTGTCTGGTCTGGCTGCCTGGGCAGAGCTCTGTCCTGCAAACAAACAACCAGTAAACTGGTAAACAAATAATTAGAATGATACATCAAATTTCCTTATTGAACCGCTTACTCGCGAAACTTACAATTCAATCCATTTCATCCAAATCCTACGTGAACCCTCACATTGTTGGAAAAGCAAAAAAAAAGACCAACCCCAAAAACCCCAATTAAAACAATATATATTTTTGGGGGGATTTATTTATAATAGGGGGGGGGGGGCCGTATTTATTAATAGGGGGAAGAGATTATTCAAACTCATAGCAATACATACGGTTTATGCAGTTTGAAGGCATCAGGAGCATTCTATGCCTATTCACACCATTGCACAGGCACACACGCAATATGTTTCATGTTTGTTTCTATAGAAACACCATCATTCATTTTAAGCAATGGCGACACACTTGTATGAACTCCCCGCAAAACATGCTAAAATGCATTTGGCCATGGCTTTGAATTAGAAGCCCCTCAAAAGTTGTTGATGAATGCAAATTCCCATGTAAAAACAACAAAACAATTCCAGGTTCCCCAAAGGGCTCTCGGAGGTGTTTGTCTGGGGAACCTAATTTTGGTTGGTTAATGGTGATTAAGAGGAACCGGGAACCAACTGATGGGGCCCTTGTCAGACCATTTTGAGCCTTTTTTGTACACATACCCAGGTCCCTTCAAACTTGGGTTTGTCTCAAGAGAAGGGGACCCCCCATAACCAAAAAAACAAAGAGACAGAAACAGCTAAGTATGTTTCTTGTAGTTTCCCTATCAAAGAAGGCATCCTGCAACAAGGGTGGGCTCAAAAAACACTATGCCCATTTCATACCCAGGCGACTGTTTTGTGTTTCTTCTTTTTGCTATTGGGTACCCCATCTTGGCTTAGAGTTTTCAAGGGAAACCTTAGAGTTTTCAAGGGAAACCAATGGGAACCCAACAACTTTTGGCGGTCCCTCACTTTGACCGGGCTCCCTTAAACGACCCCAAGAAACGCCAGCTTTTACGAGGATGTGGATCCTCTATCCGAGTTTGTGGCCTTTCTCTAATGGACCCTTGAGATTAGGTAACCAGTTGGTGGTTTGGATTGGTGCGATTTGATCCATGTCCATGTGCTTGTCGAGGGTATATGGGGCTACCAGGTTTTGCCACCTCTTTCACACCTTCAACTAGAACGATGAGAGGAAAATAGAGTCTCGGTTGTCAGTCGAATGTCGAGTCCGGATGCGAGAGGAAGCCCAAAGGTGAAGATCGAAAACAAATCAAATTCAAAGTTAGAAGTGACGAAGTGGGAAGCGAGGTATTTCTTCAACCAGTTCTTCCTCATGACCTGGCCCATGGGAAGCTTAATCAAGGGCCTGTCTTATGGCTGGACTGCTGGATCTTTGGCTGGCGCCCCGGCGAGAAGAAAGGAGGTTCCAACTTGAAGTAAGACTTCAAGCAGAATCAATTGACCATGGGTCAAAATCCCGGTTAGCCCCCAGGGAACATCCCAATCCCCACTCAAATAGACCAAAATGGGTGGTGCACCTACCCCAAAATGGTACCACTGGTCTTGACCACAGCCAATTAGCGGTTCAGGTCTCGGCCTTTTGGATTGGCCCAAGGCTTGAATTGGATCAAGGTATTGGATTCAGTGTTGAGTTGTGCGAAGGGAGCCAGGTACTCAAAGAGGCTACCTTCCCAATTAAGATGGAACCATACAGCGGTCCCTGGAAAAACGAAAGCAATCTTCCAGGATCTCCGGGCGTCAGGTGCCATGTTAAATTGGTGGGGGGGGGGGGGGTTAAAATAGGTGAAAAGAAAGAAAACACCGGCCTCCCCACGGAAACTGTACAGGGGAGTCATATTTTTCACAGCACGCACATCACACATCACACAAATTACACACACACACATCGCACACACACACACACATCACACACACACACATCACACAATATGACACACACGCATCACATGACACATGAAACACACATATATATATATATATGTATATCACCCACACGTTACACAGACAGACACAAGCACTCCTCACCCACACATCACCCACACACACACACACACGCAGACACACTTCACACACAGACACACATTACGCATTATACACGTCAACCACACATGACACACATCACACGCATCACACACACACACGCACATCACACACACACACACACATCACACACATCACATACATCACACACACACACACCCACGTACGCACGCACGCACGCACGCACGCACGCACGCGCACACACGCACACGCACACACACACACACACGCACACACGCGCGCACACACACACACACACTACGCAAATATAACATATATATATAGCATCAAACACACATACATCACACACACACATCACACACACACATTACACAAGTCACACACACACACATCACACACACACACATCACGCACACACACACATATATATATATATATATATATTTACATACACACACACACGAACAGAGACACACGCACAGACACACACACACACACAGAGACACACACACACACCACACATCATGCTTCAAACATCACACACACACCACACATCACGCACACACACACACACATGACACATCACACGTCACACATCTCACAGCGCACATCTCACATCTCACATCACATCACACATCGCACATCTCACATCTCACATCACGCATCACGCATCACACATCACACACACACACACACCACACACACACACCGAACACACCACACACACACACACACATCACAGACACACACACACATATCACACACACATATCACACACACACACACACACACACACACACACACACACACACACACACACACACACACATCCTTGCAGACTAGAATAGGCCAAATCTGGGAAGGATGTGTTTGGGTTGGCTTTTTGGTGTGGACCATTTACCAAGTGGTGCGAAGTGGACTTCGTCCATCCACAGCAGGAGCAGCTTTGTATTATTTCTTTCTTTCGGTATTTTTTTCTTGGGGAGGCAGTTGTATGGCCCTGACCTGCCCTACTGCGTCTTGGGGGAGAGGGTTCCCTTTGCCTCTAGGGGTTTGGGATTCGTATCGCAGGCAACATGTGGTGCACCAAGCTGGCCATCGTCCGCGCCTCAGTTGTTTTTTTCTCCCGCCCGGACTGGGTCGGTCCGAGTGGACATATTGAGTGCTCGAAAAGACGCTCGGGATGGGAGGTCCCTTGAAACCATTCAAAGCATCTCAGGATCTCCGTTGAAGGGACCTTGAGGGCTTCCTAAATTCTGTGAAAACCCTTCCGGAGTTGCTGATAGTTCCACAAAACTCGCTGCGAGTTCGCTGAAACATGGCAGACACCTAGCAGTTTGCCGAAGGAGCTGGTCCAGACCTCCATCATCCAGGAAGACCCAGAGCCATGGAAGACATGGATCCCATATGCAGCTTTGTATCCTGTCTGAAGGAAGGGCTTCAAATGGGTGCCCTTTTTGTTGGGTTCGTTTTGCTTTCTTTACAACACCAACACATCCAAACAATGAATGGCAATTTCTCAAGAACCTGTCCTTGTGGGCTTGTGGCTGACGGGGCTTAAAAGAAAGGGTCGACTCCAGTTTCGGACCGAAAGGCCTGATTGTTCTCTCTTGAAGGGGGTCACAAGAGGGTTCTCTGTTCTTTGGACAAGCCTCATACCAGTGACTTGGAGCTTCACTTGGCCGTGCCTGTTTGTGTTGGTATCCTTTTTTGGTTGGTTGGTTTCCATGGGAAAGCCAAAAGGACATCACCCATTTGGAAAAAAAACCTCCAGAGCTGTCCTTTGACTTGCTTTTCGGCACGGCACTTGCTTTTTGACTGGAATGCCGAAGTGAGTGGCACGTGCGCGTCTGTTGCGGAGAGTACCCCTGTTTCTGGGTTGAAAGGGAAACCAACTGGAAGCCGTGGCGCCAGTTTGGGGGTTCCCCTGAAGACATTTTCAGGAGATGGCGCCCATAGTTTTTACCCAGTTCTCCAGTGGAGTGCCATGGGGAGAAGCCTGCTACACGCCCTTTGACTTTCGGCTTTTTATCAGGAACGCTCCAACAAGCACCGTTTGAGTGGTCTTTTCCCCCTCCCTCTTCGTTTTTTTTTTTGGGGGTGGGCGTGGGCAGGGCGGGCGGGCGATGTTTTTGTTTTTCCCCCGCAGTGCGGAGCCAAAGGCTGGGCGCGGCGTTCTTCGCCGTGGTGAACGCCTTCTTTTTGACCCGGGGGCTCCAGCACTACGAGGCCTTCTTTATGATCACCACTGTGGAAGGCGCCCGGCATGGCTCGTTTTGCTCTTTTTTTTCTTCGGGCGGGCGTTTTTTTTTCTTCCCCCGCTGGGGTCGGTGGATGGGCTTTTGGTGGCTGGGTGGGAAGCAAGGACACCACCTAGAGGACACCTCGTTTGGAGAGCCGCCCGTATGTCTCAAAGGGATCCAGCCCTATGAGGAAGTGTACCGAGAAAAGCAGCCCCTGCCCCCCCCGCAGTGGGTTCAACTTGGGAAATCCAGTGGACCACCAGTAAATCGATGAACTTGGGAAATCCAGGGAAATCCAGTGAACAATCTGCGCCTTGCCGCGAGGTTCCATGATCCTATCTGCCAGCCTTTCTGGTGCCATTGTGCTCCGCGACGTCTACACCCTGCCGGCCTGGCGGATTTCCCTTTATTCCTTGCAGCTGGGCTCAACTCATTCGCTGCGTTTTGGGCCCGGGGCGTGTCTTTGTCTGCAGGTACCCTTTCTTTGAGGGACTGGCTTTTGTTGAGGGTACCTTTTTGGAGTGGTTTTAAAGCGAAACCAAGAGGAAGTTAACCCTTTTTTTGGATACCCCTAGGTCATGCAACGGTCTATGAACGACCATGACTTGCTGAGGTGGCATGGGGCAAAGTCACCTGAAGTTCCCATGTGGAGGTTCACACCTAATTCCCAAGACACGTTTTGACTCTATGGCCTTGCGCCCTTTACGCGAGGTCAGTCTTGGTGGTCATCCTCGGCATGATCGTGGTTTTCAGAGGTGAGGCCAGCAGCAAGAGCTCATTGCTTAGCGGTAGCGCCAGCAACTCGACCGCAGTTGTTTGCCTCGTAAGTCGTCAAGACGAGCTTGACACTGTCCCTAGATTTTCCCTTATTCAGGCGGAAACATCACCTCTTGGCCCACTTTTAGATGGCTCTCCCTTTGGTGGGCGGAAGTATTGAAGTCAAGTGATTTGTTGAAACTATGGACGTGCCAGTACTGTACAAGTTTGCACAAAGACCAAAGTCAAGGCAGACCCATATATGATGGATTACCATGGTGGTCAATTTGGGTCCACCAAAGTGGCATCCTCGAAATGAAAAATTGTCACGGGGATTGCCAGCCCAACGCTGGAAGAGAACCCGTAGGGAAGTGTCCCTTGATTCGTTGGGTTACAAGGAGTTGTCCCCCAAAACGAGATTCGTCTCAAAAATCACGCTTCTTTTAGGTTCATCGTGGCTCCTCTCATTTGTCTTTTAAGGCTCCACCTGGGTGTGTCTGTTTTTTGGGGGACTCCCAAAAATGGTTGTTTCATTTCGGTGTTACTTTGGCACCACTCCAAAGGAGGTACCCTCAATAAATGCCAGACCCATATTTATTAATTCGTCGCAGGGGAGTCTTAAGGATGAATGCCAAGGCATTGCAGCCGTGGACCAGCCCAAAGCGGTAGAGAAGGCGCATGGAATTCCACCCTCGCCGCAGGGCTCTTACGCGCCTCGCCAGCAGGTTGGGTGTGGCAACATTCTTGGGAGTTACCCTTTTGTAGGTGGTGGTTTCAAAGGGAAGCCAAAAGGAGAACCATTCTAGGGTTTAATTCCCCATTCTGTTCAACCATCGTTCTGTTCAAAAGCCAGCTGTTTGCCAGGGTTTTTGATGGTTTCCTGAAAAGAAGCATCCCTGGAAAGAATGGGGAATCTTCCCCTAGAAGCATCAGCTTGGAGAATCTTATCTTTTTTAAGACACACTCGAAAGCGTGCAAAGAATCATTCCACCGGGCTGCGAGACAAGTTCGAAGGAAGTTTCGATTTACGGTACTGGGGTTTGGGTAACCTGGTGTCAAGTGCACTTCTGTGGTTGTGGGTCGAAGTCAGAAATTTGACCCGTGACTTGGCAAACTTATGGGGGCCTGTTTGCTGGAGGTTTGCCCACTCGTTGCTTGTATTGTGTGGGTGAATTTCCTGTACTTCCTGGTTTCTATCGCGGTGTTTTCCTTGAGCCATCCCTTCACTTTCCTTGAGCCATCCCTTCACTTTCTTGGTCTTTGGCTTGACACACATTAACTATCAACCTTTCAACAATGAGCTTTGTTTTGGCTCGACTGGTGTTCACCTTTTAACTTTTGGGACATTTCGCAGATTCGAAGCACTAGCCAATAAAAGGATAAACTCTTCGTTTTTGTTGCAGGAGCATTGGCTCGGCCGTCCCCGTACCGAAAGTCCACTTTTGGACTCTCAGAGTTGAAGCGAAGTATGCCACTACTTTCATTCGCAGATCTGTGAGCCAACTTCAGAAGTCTTCTTTCCGTGTAAAGAACACATATGAACAAGCTGTAAGCAGTTAAGTTAGGTTTTGGGCAACCCTCAAGGCTGGTTTGGATTGGTTCGGGGAACTGAAGCCCTGGCTTGTAGATGGTAAAAGGGCCGCCACCCAGCGGGCACCAAACCACCGATTAGAGGGAAGCTGGATTGTTGGCGGGTTGGATTGGGTACCTGGGAAGGGTGCAAAACAACCAACATAAGCAAACAAGCACAAAAGCAATAACGAACAATCAACCAACAAGCAACAGCAAGTCAAAGAAGAGCAACAAACACAACACAACAAAATCTAACAGCTGTCACACAAAGACGGCGGAAATCAAGACGAAAAAACAAGAAACCACTCACGACCAGGACCCCCCAATGGCTGGCAAATAACCCCAAAACAGCCATTGGAAGGTCGTTTCACAGACCATGTGCCAGCTATTGGGTCCTGGGAGGAAGCGATCCCTTGCCTTCGCACGCCGCTTTGGCTTTTTCGCCCAGGGGCGTCCGCAGCAGTCGCCTGGGGTGCCGCCCAGCCCAACGACCTCGGTGACTTCGCTGGAGACCCGTTTTTTGAAATGGGGCAGCGCCCATTTCACCGAACCCCGGAACGGTCACACACCCGGTAATGTGTGTGTGTGTGTGTGTGTGTGTTTGTTTTTCTTGTAAAAATGAAAGGTCAGGCAGAGATAAACCACCATCTCAGAACCAATAGTCAATCCACTTGGTTTTTCATCTGAAAGGAAAGGCCCAGAGAAGTGGCAGGCCCACCTACCAAGGCGGGACGGGTTTTTGTTGGTGTTTGTCTCAGGGTATTTGTTGAAATCGCCCTCTAAATCGGTGTTTGGATTCCATTTGGTTTCCCTTGTCCTAGAAGGGGTTCACCGTTTTGAGGCAGCTCCACATGAAAACCTTTTTTTTAAACCTAGCGTGGCCATCGGGGTACATAGATCATGTCAATTTATTCCAGGTTTCGTTGAGCTTCGGTCAACATATCCAGTCCATGGCCCATCTGAACGGGACATAGGGGACGAGTGCGAATTCGTGCACAAAGCTCGGGGGGACGAACTCAAGGCTTCCGATATCCTCACAAAAAAGTGAGCGCCCAACACCGATTCCTGCTTGCCAAGTCAGTAAGTGGTTCATTATGTGATTTCAGGGGATTTGTAGTAAGGCTGACAGAAAGCTTTCTCAGTACGAGAGAACCAACAGATCCTTGCTGCCAGCCCAGTTTTTGTGCAGGACGGCTGCCGATTGCGAGCAATCAGTTCAGAAGACATCGAAAACGGCGGCGGCCTCAGATTTGTGTCACAAAGCAACTCCGTGCCCGGCAAGCTGATTTGCAGGAATGCAATCTGTACCTAGTACCTGGTTGATCAAATCAATGATTTGGAGGAAGGATCAAGTGGAAGTCTGCTTTGGCAGATGGGAACGACCAGTTCTTTTCGTCCGAACGAGGCGTTATCGTGATCACAACGCATGGACAAGCTCAGCCAACTATCGAGGAGAGTGACGAGGTTGAGGAGTGTGCCCTTGGTCGCAGGGGGCTGTCCAGATGATCCTTGCGGGAGAAAGAAGGGGGCGGAACATTGGTTCCTTTTTCCCTGGAGCGCGTGGTCCCCTTTCTCGCTAGACGAAAGCAGTCAGATCTCAAGATGGAGGGTTTCGCGCCCCTGCCCTTTGCCCCTTTCCCCATTCCGTCGAATCGGCCGCTTCGCGAGGCATCAAGTTGGATCATCCGCCTCCAAAGAAGAGCAAATCTGATGCCAAGACAGATCAGAGACTTGGTTGCAGCGGCGTGGTTTCGTTTGTTTTACATGTAACACGGCTCGATTGTATTTGTCTATGAGATGCAGGGGAATGTGGATGGTTTCAACATCCGCAGAACGCAGCAAGCGGCGGGATTGGTGGTTTGGGTTTCTTCCACAAAATCGATGGTGCAGGCAGGCGATTGTTTCTTTTCTTTTGAATCGCGGTTTGTAAGTTTGCAGTTGCCGTATAGCACATAAGAAAATCCAAGAGTCCCGAGGTGTTTGCACCCATAACATTTTGTACGTCTTTTTTTGAGGGTACACTTTGTTGGGTGGTTTTTAATGGGAACCAAAGGAGCAACCATCATTTGGGAGTCCCCGATTAAGGACACGCCCAAATTGAAGATGGACTGGGTATTTTGACGGGAATCTCATTTGGAAGCCATCAACTTTCGTCCAGAGAGAATGTGCCTTGGAACCGCCAGGACACCACTGACAGAGGCCCAAGGCCTCATCAACACAGTGACCTACACTGACTCGGGGCTGATACAGCTTTGAGACCGTGTGACCCCCAGATCGGATTTGAATCGGATTCCCATTCCGAGTCCGTCCGATCGAAACTCCTGAGGTAGCACTTCCGGCGACGGTCCAATGTGCATCTGAGAAATCGACCCTGCGAAAATCGCACGCGTCAGAACCGCACGGATTTTTCCAGCAGGACTCAATGTGAGGGTGCTAACCTGCTGTGCCCGAAGGTATGCTCAAAAAGACATGTTCACGGCATGCAAACAGCATACCGTGCAAGTTTTCACCTTATTCTGGGTCGGTCAGTTCCCAAGTGTTGCTTGGGATTAGTTCTAGAATTGTGCTGCCCAGACCGACCGCATCAATTGGCAAGCCCAAATTTCTCTTGGCTACGTGACGGCAGACATTCGTTCAAGAATCAGAAATCCACTGGTTTGCTTGTCGTCACTTCGCCAGCGATTGGGAGTCACTATGACACAGCCGTTTCATTGCACGAAAAAAAATGCGGACAGGCTCGGACGTTGGAGCGCAACGGTTTGGCAGATAGTAATCACGATGTTTTCAAGATAGTCGCCTTGCAGCTGGGTGGAGCTAGATGCCACAATTATCCTATGATCTTCTCATGTTTTATTTGCCCACTGAAGGAATGGTACCATCTACATTCACCCTGGTGTTCTTCTTGCCGTCAAAACTGTCATCAGTGTAGCACTGGAGCAACCAAGAAGCGGGTTTGCATGCTTTGCACATGAGCTGCGGTCAATATTTACCACCGTCAACTGTAGTACTGTAGTAAAGGGGATGAGGTGGCAACTATGGAAACTCTCACCACATTTTGCCGGTAGGAAATCGAGGTTACTCACTGAAATTTACTGTCATGCAGGGACATAATGTGTGGATGGACGAAATCCTGCACCTAAGCAACCATTCCCATTTTTTCCAACAAAAAAACATGGGTTTTCCACGGCTGGCGCAAACTGGATTTTGCAACCTATCGAGCGCTCACAGATTGCCAAAGAGGCTGCCAAAGGAAACGGTCCAAATTCCCCATCCGCTCGACGTGTGAAGCTTCCAAGCTCTCAGTGACAGGATCGAACGGCGAAACCGCGGCTCAATGTCCGACCGCAGCCCAAGAATACTTAAATGAAGCTACATTTATTCAGGCCTTAGTGCTCTGCTCCGGCATGGCTTCTCGCTCCATCGCGATTGGGACACTTGTCCTGTTTACCAACATATGTTGGTCCTTCAAGCTGTCGGATGCGCCAATCAACGCGAGCAACTCCAGCAACGCCACCGTGAACGCCAAAGTGGAGGATATGATCTCCGAGAACTTTCAGCACGACGTGAAGGACATCAAGTCCATCCCTGAGCCCAAGGTGACAGGTGGGGCGGCTAGCGAAATAGACAGGTCAAAATGAGAGACGTCCGTCGGCCAGAAATTTCAAGAGGACGCACATAAGAACAATGGTTAGTGGACATGACTCGCCTGGGTTAACCGTGTCCGATGGGATTCCTGATGGGACGGAACCTGCAATTTCCCATTTGGGGACCCTTAAAATCTTGGACCAAAACTATGGAACGGCATCATAATTTTCCCCCGGTCCCTAAGAGGGCGTGTAGGTGTGCTTTTGTTCAGGGTAATTATGACACACACCGACCGACCCATGTGATGTCCCACGGGGGCTCGTGGGGTTGTGTTGTTCTTGAGGCTCCGCCACGGTGGCTTTCCTTTGGGCTTCCCCTCCCCCACCCCCATATTAATAAACAGGGGTTTATTAATTAATCCGGGGTCAACAGTCGACGGATCTGCCGCTCCCAGGCGGAGATGATGGAGCCGGAGAGCTGGGAAAGAGCCTGGAGTTCTTGATGCTCAAGGTCGCCCAGCTGGAGACGCTCGCGGAACTGCAGCAGGTGAGCGTTGTTTGCGTTGACGTCTGGCCGTTTGGGTCTGGCATATTTTTTGGGGGGGACCTTGCTTGAAAGAAGACCGATTAATGCCCAGTTGGGGGTACAACAGTCAATGATCACGATGACATTTATGACTCAGAGGCTCACTGTGCAGTTGCATGGTTGAAGTAGGTTGGTGCATGAAAACGACCTTCCATGCACTACCGTTTGGCTCAAGCAAAAGGCGCTCTACTGCGCGCACGTCGCCCCAATTTACAAGCTCGCGCAAGTATGTCTGTGTTGACAGCGATCCCTATTGACGAGCAACCAAAAGAGGCGACCCTGTTTGACCATCTGTTGGCTTGAAAAGTGCACCGTGAAAAAGCCCAAGGTGGAAAAGACAAGGCAAGCTCCCGTAGGTAGCCATCGCAGAAAGCCGGAGTGGCTTTGGTCCAAGGTCGACATTGCATTGGAACTACATCAGGATAAGCGTAATAGGGATGAGCTTGACAAGAGTCTTCAAATCAAGGCCGCTGTTCTGTCTCAGGGTAACAATCCCAATGCCATGCCTGTCGCAAGCAGTAAAGAGAAACCCAAGACAAAGAGCAAGAGGACGAAAAAGGAAAATGCTGCAGATCCGCAGACACCAGCAGCGCCAGCGACGAAGGCCAAGGCCCCCAAGCCGCCTCGAGGGCAAGGGCCAGGGAAGCACAGACTCTAACCTTACTCCTAGGTCTAAGGCCATCAGCAAGACAGCCAACATGACCGCCGCGGAAAAGGCGAAGACCCCGCGTATGCTTTACGCCTATAATTCGTGCAAGGCTAAGCAGCGCGCGTATGCTAATAAGTACACTGGTCCCAAGCCCAGAAGCCTGTGTAAGCCACCGCCGCCAAAGGCAAATGCAGCTGTTGCGCAACTCATTCCTGCCATGGCAAGCGGGCAAGCGTGGCTTCCGAGGACAACCGCATTAGCTGGCTCTGGGACACTGCAGCAGGAAGGCACTTGATCGGTCGGCAAGCTCTCAATAGCAACGTGATCAAGCGCATGCGCGACAGCAGCACACCCGTCGTGTTTGCGACTGGGGTGCCCAACAAGGCACCATCTTGATGGACAGCCGAGCGATACCAGCTGAAGAGCAGGTACATGTCCTCCGTGCTTGCCCTCCAGCGCAGTCCATCGGAAAGACCGTAGTAGACAGCAAGGGTCGCGCGTAAGAAGGACGCCAGGTCAGACAAGGTAGACGTTCCCACATCCAACAGCCGGCTACCGACTCCGCAATTCTCGCCATGCGTGGAGTAGGGGTCGGGGGTGTCAAGTCGCACCACATCGTGCAGGATGTGTTTTCCGGCGCTCGTATCGCGTACCCCGTCAGTACGCGAGATACGCAGGCGCACGCGAAGAACTTCCGTCACTTCATGGGGCTAAAGGCCACTGAGGCCCCGCCCGTGTTTGGTAAAAATGGATGCGGCCGGAGAACTCGAGGGAGCGGCCCACAAGGTTGGTCTCATTCCTGAGACCAGCCTCCCCAACCGGTGGCCGCGCAACACGGTCCTCGAGCGCGACATCAGGGAGGAGAAGGGGTGCTGCCGTAGCATCCACTTGCAGTCCGGGTTGCCCATTCGTTGCACACGTTTAGCTACCCGTTCGCTTGCCTCACGATGTCGTTCGATAGACCTGCTCCCTTCAGTGCTGACAAAACGCAGTCCTCACAAAAGAAATTCCTAGGACAGTTGGTGTGGTACCAAACAAAAGCTCCGGGCAAGCGCGCTCTAGATCCAACGCTCTTTTTAGGTTGGAGGGTAGACCCAGGATTACGGTATCGCAGCGTGGTCAAAGTCATGGATTAAGAAGTGAAAGATGGCTCCATTTCCGTTCACGAGGTTTCTGAGGTTCTTGAGGCGGAGCTTTCCGATTGCAGCCAGGGATCTGACCCACCGCCAATGCCACTGCGGGAGGCCTTTCGGGGCTCTGCCCGCTCCTACCGCTCCCAAGTCAAAGTCCGTGTATATAACTGTTGAAGGGATCACCAAGTTCAAAGAGACCCCATGTCGCGCATGTGCTGGCCATTCTAGGGCTCACAGCGCTGAATGTAGGAAACGGTTTTCTGAACTGGTGTCCGCAGATAGGGCTGAAGCGGCTGCTAAAAGCGCTGCAATAGTTGAGTCTAAAGATCAAATCTCGAAGGTTGCAACACAAGCGGATGAGGAATTTGCCAGGGCCATCCATGCATCTGAACTTGAAAAAGATCCCGAGAGCACAGTTGGGGCAGAATATTTTGCGCGCGAATTTGATGAAGCCGGGCCATACTTTGATGCTGCACCCGCGTCTACTGCAGCAGCCTCGCAAAGTGATGCCGCGTGGGTGTATAACGAGAATGCCAACTGTTTGATTCGGTATCATATAGTGCCAAGACAAAGCCTTTTTACCCCAAAAGAGATGAAGGATTGCCCCGTGTCTTTGACAGGTTCACTGCAGCTCGTACTGCTCGCGCCGTGTTTCAGGGGGGCAAGTCGGAGAACATTCATGATGGGTGATTTGGCAGCAGGCCAAACCGTGCAACGAGTGGTCCGTGGACTTGTTCTCTTGACACACGTCGATGATCTTATGTTGGCGGGCCAAAAGCCCCACCACGGTGCTTGCTGGCAAAAGCTGACGCAACTAGTAGACCTAGAATTCAAGAAGACATCTACCGTGTGTTACTCCTCATCAACGCTCCAAAAGACCCAGCAGAGCCCGAACTCAATGCTGCCTGGGCGTCTTGAGGGCGGGCACGGCGTTCAATATGCGAGACTAGGCTCGTCAAACGGTAGCGTTGTATGTTGAGTTTGCCAAGTTAGAAACTGAAAAGCTGAAAAGTTGCGCGATGCCACCTCCTTTCTGTCCCGCTAGTTCTTTGGACCCCGCAGACGATGCCTTGGAGGGTGAGCTTGGCTTCGCCGCATGCCGCCTGCTGATGAAGGCTCTAGTTTGGACGACTTGCGCGTCCCGACTTGATCAAGCCAATAGGAGGCCGCGCTTCGCTTGTACAGAAATGGTCACGCAATTGCGACAGGTAGTTGCAAAGACTAGTCTGTCGTCTCAAAGCACGGTAAATAGTACCTTGGTAGGAACAGTGCAAGATTCGACTGACAACTTACATCTAGCTCTCTATGTAGATGCAGACTTCGCAGGGGGGAAGGATGCCAAGTCGACGTCCGGTGGTTTCTTGGTGTTGAGTGGCCCGCACACTTTCCTCTTGCGTGGGTGTCGAAGCGTCAAACTTCTGTTTCTCACTCAGCCACTCAAGCGGAGATAGTGTCTCTTGCGTACACCAAGAGGCACTACCCGCAGTCAGCCTTTGGGAGCTGATGCTCGGAGGCCTACGCACCTTAAGACCCACGAGGATAATCAGGCGACTATCCTTGTAGCTAAAAAGGGGTTCTCCTAAGCTCCGATGTGTTCAGCGCACGCATAAGGTGAATCTCGCTTGCGTTGCAGAGCAACTCGAAAATGAACATACGTGAAGACAGCGATGCAATCAGCAGATATTTTCTGGGCCAAGTTATACCATGCCATGTCATGTTTTTTGTATGAGAAATACATTCTGTGCCATGATACGGTTGGTTAGGTTACGCATGTTGCCCACCCCAACCCCAGATGATGCAGGGGATGCCAGCTTTCTGGGCCCCAGCCGGGCCCCAACCCAGGAGGCTGACATGGGGTCGCGCGCGCGCGCCAGAGGAGTAGCAAAAGCAGCCCAAAAAGAGCAGCCCGCAAGCCAGCCCGGAAAGGCAAATGCAACAAAACACAGTAAATAGCAGCGTTTTGTGGCTGGGGTCGCGCGCGCGCGCCAGAAGGCCCGAAGACCAACGGGAAAAAAGCAAGGACCGCGCAGCACGCGAGCCAGCCACAGCAGGAGCAGAACGGACAGAACAACAACAAAACGCTCAACACAGCAGTTTTTGACGGTATTTACAGCGTTTTGTAGAGCGAGGGCCCAGCATTGCCGGCATGCCCGGCAGCGCTTGGCGCCAACATGCGCGAAAATGAGCCTCGCTTATATCCCTCCAACACCTTCGAAAAGCAGTGCTTCAGGCCCAACCCCAGACCCTGATGATGTCAGCCACATGGCCTAAACCCTGCATATATGCGATGTTTTGCGAGGGTTTCCGACAGGCAAGCAAAACCGCAAGCCCGAGCTGGTGATGCAGAGGTGCCGGATTTAGGCAGCGCATCACGACCAAGCGGCGAGGGTCGGCGGCGCCAGGGTGCAGCCCCTATAGCTGAAGCTAGCAGGCTAATTGCTAGCGGCGACATGCTACCCCAGGAGGCGTAGCCGGATTTACACGCTGACGCGACACAGCCGGCCACCGGGCACCTTGCCCTGCCCGTTCTGTCACTTCCCTTTCCTGTAAGTCTGATTAGTAGATGTTAATTCTAACAACTTTCAGATTCTAAGGGTCTCAGATTTGAAGACTTTCGGAATTTAAGGTTTCAATGGTTTTAAGAATTAAGGTTTTAAGATTCAAAGATTTAAGGTTTTTGAAGGTTATAACAGCCAGGCCATTGCCCAGCCATTTTCCATCCATTATCAGATTTCGACGGCTTTAAGATTTTATTTTTTGTGAGATTTTCAGATTTGGTGAGTTTCGGAATTTAAGATTTTAAGATCTTAAGGTTTCAAGATTTCAAAATTTCAAGATTAAGAGTTTAAGGAATTTAAAATATAGCCCGGATTGAAGGAATGTAATGTTTTAATAATTTAAGATTTTCAGATTTCAATTGTTCGAGGCTTAAAGAATTTAAGTTTTTAAAGCTTTTTAAGATTCTGAGATTTTAAGATTGTAAGACTTTAGGATTTCTATATTTTAAGAGTTTAGGATCTCAAGATTCTATCACATAAAGTTTTTAAGATTTCGAGATTCGAAGACTTTAGGATGTTTTTATATTTTCAGATTTTAAGATTCTAAGTTCTAACATTTTAAGATCTTGAGATTGATTGTTAGATCTTAATTTAAAATTTGAAGAATCTAAGACTTTAGGATTTTGAGATTTCAATCCAGGCCATTTTCCATCCACTTTAAGATTTTAAGATTTTCAGGTTGCACGTTTTCGGCAAAATTGGCCCAGCTTACTGGGCAACATCCCCAGCATCACCCCACATCGACAGCATGCATAACATCACCCGCATCATCCAGGATGATGCTGGCAATGCTGGGGGTGTTGTCCAGTATTAGGCACCCCCTAAAAATACTCGTTTTTGGGCGCTGCGGGGAGATGCTACAAAAATCGCTTAAACCAATCCGCGAATCCGTCGCCCCTTATAAGGGCGGGCCCAGCGCAAAAATTCTGCTCATGTTCTGCTCATGGTCGGCGCATGGTCGGCGGAATGGGGCGCGCGGCCTTATACGTAAGCCCTGCGGGCTTTGGCCTGCGGCCCGCTCACGCCCTGTGGCCGGATTAACCAGGCTCCCGCCTGCTGCCGCTGACCCTCGGCGCATTAAGGGAAAAGTCATAAGGACCGGTCTTGAAACACGGGTGCCAGTCCGCAAATCCAGGGACCACTTATAAGATCCTCTACGACCACAGATTAACGGAAAAGTCAGAAAGATGGCAGCTCGTCCGTTAATTACCGCTTGGGCCGGTTCGCGCCCAAGTCACTTCGAGTTGGCCCGGGAAAATCCATTCAAGATGGATTCCGAAACCCTCACACTATTGGAAAGCCAGCCGACAGAAGCCGTGCAGTGGACACCCTCAAGCATGTTGACATTGCTCAAATTGTGGGCTATGTCCGGATTTAAGGGGTAGTTTGAGGCTGATGCTCGAAGTTCCAAGCAATTGTTTGGGCTCTCGCAATTGTTGGGGTTTCAATGGTCCATTCATTTTGAGATGGATGCAACACTGCCCCACAATTATGGGTGACGTGCAGTTTCAGCGTGGTCCAGATTTGTTTCCAAAATTGAACACGCCACAATTGTTGGGTTTCCTACATCAACGCCTACACCAGGATGTTCCCCCGCCACCTGTTGGGGACGGGCCACCAAATCCCAGTGATTCCATTCAGCACTTGGCCGTGGGTGAACGGGGCAGGTGCAAAACCCATTTGTGAGTCCATTTCAGGAAGGATTGGGATGTTTGCTGAGGGTGCGGGGTTTTGACCCATAGACGAACATGGCGAAGGGGGAGCGCTCTCGGCAAATTTCTTGATCAAAGCTTTGGAACAATATCTAGGTCCCCCAGCAATTGGTGCCTAGTAGCGCCCTTTTACCCTTTTTTTGGCGGAGGGTTCCTCCAAAATAGACTACTGAAAAAAGGGCACCCTTGCCGTTTCTTTTTTTGGGAGGGTTCCTCTAAATAGGCTACTGAGAAAAGGGCACCCTTGCCGTTTCTTTTTTTGGGGAGGGTTCCTCTAAAATAGACTACAGAAAAAACTGGAGGACCTAGATATTGGTAGAACCAAAAGTCTCGAGCGAAGCGGGTGAGGTGGAGATCGCGTCTTTGCAAAAGACGGTGAAGGCAGGGCCCAAAGACGCTGTTTGGTTTCAAGCAGGACCTGGTCACCACGTCAATTTACTTTTGGGCCAACTTTTGTTGTGAGCTTACCCTGATAAATTATAGACCAAAACCTGCGGTCCAATTCCTGGACTTTTTTTTGACCCATGTTAGAGAGCCGTGGGAGGAGCATTTGGGTGTGGACAAGCCTTCGATGGTGCAGCTGCACGAGGCTCAGGTGATTGTGAAGCGCGTGGTGGAGAAACATCAGCGCCAGCGCGCGACAAGGGAGTTCCACTCCGCCAAAGACTCGGTTTCCTCAGCTGACAAGGCTGAAAAGGCGGACAAGACGGACAAGGCGGGCGGTCGCACAGTTTTGGAAAGACCTTTTTTCTTGGAAAGGAACCCAAAGGAGGTTGCTCAAAGAGTTTGGTGTGCTTTCTTGGGTTGACTGTGGTTTAGATACATGGTAAAATAATGACCTCGTTTTCACTAGCCTCCATTTTATGATTCAAAAGCAATGGTGGCTGACGATGGAGGGGTTGACCATTGAACACACAATCTATATTTGGCACCCTTTGGGTTGACCTTGGTTGCACCCATGGAGTCGCGCAGGCGGAGAGGGCGGCGTTGTTGCAACGCCAACGTGGAGAGGAGAGGGCAGACCTGTCGTCGTTGGACGACAGCGTGGCTGGCAAGGTGATTCAAGCAGTGACAGGACCCGCTTTCAGCTTTGGTAACCAAGGAAAACCATCAAAAAGAGGCAACCTAGATTAGGTGACGGCAGGACATGGGAAAACTGTTGCGAAGGACTGGTCTCTGTTGTGGTTCTATTTCTGGGACTCTGGAGTTGTCTCTACCAGAAAAATGGTTCTGGTTGATTGCTGGGATTGGCGTGCGGTTTTAGGGAGAGGTGACAGATTGATGAGATGGTTGGTGTTTTTTCCAAGGATTTGACAATTTGGGTTCTGCTCGTGACGGTGAAGTCGAAACACGCTGTTTCAATAGGCAGGGAAGGGAGCCCGCCTATGAACCGTCCGTCAAGGGGATGCATTGGTTCATTCCCAAACCTCCTCTTGATTCCCTGCAAACCAGCCAGATAAATGTGGCGGGTTTGTCTCCAAATCAACATCAGTTGGACCTCATAGGGGTCTGTCGTTTGAGGGTCAAACGAACAGGAAACCGAAGCTTATTTTGAAATTTGGAAACCCATAGGACCTGTGGTGGACACGCTCGAGGGCGCTGCCGGACACATCACGGACGGTACGGGGCTGGTGGGCAATGCTCTGGGCGAGGCCTACACCCATGCCGCAGACAAGGCGACAGCCAGAACCGTTTTATCCGTTTTGGCCAACTGGCACCCTTTTCAAGGTTGGTTAGGGAAACCAAAGCAAAAGACCGCCATCTTTGAGGGTTCCATAAATCGTTTGAATGTTGTTTTGCCTGTTCCCTGCATTTTCGCTCTTTGCCGGCAAAGCTTAATCAACCTTTGGCAGGTCTAAGTATAGCCAACAATACAGGGATATACAGGGTGCTGGTGGGATGCATCATCCCTCAAACCAAGGATTTGGAACCTCCAGCTATCCTGGCACTTTGAAAGCGTATCCCCATCCACATGGGAAAGCAAGACAGAGCCCACGAACCCGAATGCGCATCACTTTGCGCAAGCGAAAGAAAATAATTAGAGAGAACATTTTTCGGTGTACTTCGCGTACTAGACTTCTACTGCAAAGTTGTGATTTTCGAGCTGGAGCTCAAAACTTGTACTTCGCGTACTATACTTGCACTTCCAAGTTGCGATCTTCCAGCCAGAGCTGGAAACTTGTACTTCACGTACTGTACTTGCACTACAAAGTTGTGACTTTACAGCTAGTGCTGGAAACCTGCACACTTCGCTCAAGACTTGTACTTCAAAGTTGCGATTCTCCAGGTAGAGCTGGTACTGCAAAGTTGCGATTTTCCAGTAGAGCTGGAAACCTGCACTTTGCGTACTAGACTTGTACTACAGAGTCGCAATTTACCAGCTCGAGCTGGAAACCTGTACTTCGCGATTTTCCAGCTAGATCTAGAACCCTGTACTTCGCGTACTAGACTTGTACTACAATGTTAAACCGCGTACTTGGAGCTGGAAACCGGTACTTCGCGTACTAGACTTGTCAAAGTTACGATTTTCCAGCCAGAGCGTGAAGCCTGTACTTCGTGTGCTAGGCTTGTGCTACAAGGTTGTGACTTCCAGCTAGAGCTGGACTTTGCGGTTCTGTGCTTCGCGTACTAGACTTGTACTACAAAGTCCCGGTTTCCCAGCTGGAGCTGGAAGCCTGTACTTCGCGCGTTAGTGCTGTGGAAAAGGACGCATGGCAGGCGCAGCATTTTCATAAACATGGTCTGTGAATTTCGTGGCAGGCGCAGCGTTTCATTCATTTGCAAGCGTTGCAAGACGAAGTGAACCCTTTGCGGAGATCGTGCGCGTCGAAGCGCCCTCGCTGTGGCGCCGTGCGAATGTGTTTGAGCTTGGTGAACCCTCTGCGCATGCGGAGACTGTACGTGTCGAAGCGCTCTCGCCGTGCGAATGTGTCTTGAGCTCGGCGAACCCTCTGCGGAGATTGCACGTGTCGAAGCGCTCTCGCTGTGGTGCCGTGCGAATTTGTCCTACTCGCGGTGAACCCGTTGCGGAGATCCTGCGCATCGAAGCGCTCTCGCTGTGGCGCCGTGCGAATTCGTCTTGCTCTCGGCAAACCCTCTGCGGAGATCCTGCGCGTCGAAGCGCTCTCGCTGTGGCACCGTTCGATGTTTCTGAAGCGGTGTTTGGAAGTTGTCTCGTGGTTTGCGCGTTTGCTTTCGCGATCGCGTGCTGTCTCGGGTTTCACCTGCCTGGTCCGCGGTAGCTCCTACAAAGTTGCGATTTTCGAGCTGGAGCTGGAACCTGTACTGCGTGCGCTAGACTTGCGCTTCAAAGTTGTGATTTTCCAGAAACCGGTACTTCGCGCGCTACACTTGTGCTACGAAGTTGCGATTTTGCAGCTAGAGCTGGAAATCTGTACTTCGCGCGCTTGCACTACAAAGTTGCGATTTTCCAGCGAGCACTAGACTTCTGAGCGACACGTCTGAGCACAACTTCTGATTGACACTTCTGAGCGAAACTTTTGAGCGACACCTGATCAACACTTCTGAACCGCACTTTTTCTGATCGACACTTCTGAGCAACACTTCTGACCGACACTTTTTCTGACCGACTATTCTGAGCAATACTGCTGATTGACACTTGTGAATGAGACTTTCGAGCCACACCTGATCAACACTTCTGAACCACACTTTTTCTGATCGACACTTATGAGCAAGACTTCTGAGCGACACTTTTTCTGATCGACTTTTCTGAGCAACACTTCTGATTGACACTTCTGAGCGACACTTTTGAGCGACACCTGATCAACACTTCTGAACCGCACTTTTTCTGATCGACACTTCTGAGCAACACTTCTGACCGACACTTTTTCTGACCGACTATTCTGAGCAACACTTCTGATTGACACTTGTGAACGCGACTTTCGAGCGACACCTGATCAACACTTCTGAACCAGACTTTTTCTGATCGACACTTATGAGCAACACTTCTGAGCGACACTTTTTCTGATCGACTGTTCTGAGCAACACTTCTGATTGACACTTCTGAGCGACACTTTTGAGCGACACCTGGTCAACACTTCTGAACCCGCACTTTTTCTGATCGACACTTCTGAGCAACACTTCTGAGCGACACTTTTTCTGATCGTCTTTTCTGAATTCTGACCCACACTTCTGATTGACACTTCTGAGCGAAACTTGTGAGCGACACCTGATCAACATTCTGATCGACAGTTTGAGCAACACTGCTGAACCACACTTCTGAATTCACTCTTATGACCAACACTTCTGATCCACACTTCTCATCGACAGTTCTGAGTAACACTTCCGACCAACACTTCTGATCCACACTGCTCATCGACACTTCTGAACGACACTTCTGAGCAAGACTGCTGAATTGACACTTCTGAGCTTCTGAGCAACACTTCTGATCGACACTTCTGATCCACACTTTTGAGGAACCCTTCTCATCAACACTTCTGAGCAACACTTCCGACCCACACTTCTGATCGACACTTCTGAGCGACATTTCTGTCAAACACTTCCGAGCAACACTTCTGAGCGACACTTCTGAGCAACACTTCCAACCGACACTTCCGAGCAACACCTTTGAGCAAGACTTCTGATCTACACTTTGGAGTTACACTTCTGAGCGACACTTCTGACCAACACTTCTGATCCACACTGCTGAGCGACACTTCTGAGCAACATGCTGAATTGACACTTCTGAGCGACACTGCTGAGCAACACTTCAGGCTGACACTTCTGCGCAACACTTCCGAGCAACACTTCTGATCAACACTTCTGAGCAAGACTGTCGATCCGCACTGCTGATTGACACTTCTGATCGACAGTTCTGAGCATCTGGTCAACACTTCTGATCTCCACTGCTCATCGACACTTCTGAGCGGCACTTCTGAGCAATACTGCTGAAATCAATTTTCTGAGCGACGCTTCTGAGCAACACTTCAAACTGACACTTCTGATCGGCAACACTTCTGACACACACTTCAGAGCAACACTGCTGATTCGGCACTGCTGATCGACACCTCTGACCGACACCACGGTTAACACTTTGAATCGATGCTTCTAATCCACACTTCTGCTCGATACTTCAGAGAGACACTCCTGCGCAACATTTCTGAGGGAGCAACACTTCGGATCAACACTTCTGATCCACACTTCTCTCTGAGCAACACTTCTGATCGAAGACTTCTGATTGACACTTCTGGTCAACACTTCGGATCCACACTGCTGAGCAACACTTTCCGACCGACACTCCCGAAACACTTTTGAGCACCACTTCTGATTCGACACTGCTGATCGACACCCCTGACCGACACCTCTGATCGACAGTTCTGAGCAACACTTCTGACCGATGCTTCTGATCAGCACTTCCGAGCAACACTTCTGAGCAAACACACACACACACATGTAAGCGACGCTTTTGAGCTTCTGAGCGACACCTCTGAACAACACTTCTGGGCAACACTGCGCGGCACTCCTGAGCAACATTCTGAAAACACCTTTGAGCGACACGTCTGAGCCACACACAATCAGCAACACTGCTATCTGAGCGACAATTTGAGCAACATTTCTACACATATCTCAGCGACATGAGCGACGCTCCCGAGCGACACTTCTGAGCGACGCCTCTGAGCAATGAGCGATACTCCGGAGTAACACTTTTTGAGCACACTTCTGATCGAAACTTCCGAGCAACAGTTCTGTTCGACACTTCTGAGCAACACTTTTTACTGACACTTCTGAGCGGCACTTTTGAGCAATACTTGTGAACCACACTTCTGATTGACACTTCTGAGCAACAGGTTTGATCCACACTTCTGATCTGATCAACAGTTCTAATTCTGAGCCACACTTCTGATCCACACTTCTGACAACATTTCTGAGGGACACGTCTGAGCAGCACTTCTGGGCAACACTTCTGTTCGACACTTCTGACCGACACTTCTGAGCAACACTTCTGATCGACACTTCTGAGCAACACTTCTGATCGACACTTCCGAGCAACACTTCTGTCGACACTTCCGACCGGTACTTCTGAGCGACACTTTTGATCGACAGTTCTGAACGAAACTTCTAATCGACACTTCTGAACGACACTTCTAATGGACACTTGTGATCGACACTTCTGTGAACGACACTTCTGTCTCCAAATGCGCACTGCGCCACGGCGAGAGCGATTCGACCCACCCAAAGTGCGCAGAGGGTTCACTTTGTCCGCTCAACGGTTCACTTCGCGTGCTCAAAATGCGCACCGCGCCACAGCGAGAGCGATGTGACCCACCCAAAGTGCACAGAGGGTTCGCCTCGCGTTCTCAAAATGTGCACCGCGCCACAGCGAGAGCGATTTGACCCACCCAAAGTGCGCAGAGGGTTTGCCTCGAATGCTCAAAACGCGCACAGCGCCGCAGCGAGAGCGATTTGACCCACCCAAGGAGCGCAGAGGGATCGCTTCGCGTTCGCAAAATGTTCACCGCACCACAGCAAAAGCGATTTGACCCACCCAAAGTGCGCAGAGGCTTTGCCTCGCGTTCTCAAAACGCGCACAGCGCCGCAGCGAGAGCGAGTTGACCCACCCAAGGAGCGCAGAGGGATCGCTTCGCTTTCGCAAAATGTTCACCGCGCCACAGCGAGAGCGATTTTGACCCACCCAAAGTGCGCAGAGGGTTCGCCTCGCGTTCTCAAAATGGCACCGCGCCACATCGAGAGCGATCTCGCTGAGTCAAAGTGACGCGCCTGCCTACACCCAGGCGCCAAAGTACGGCGCCTGCCACGAAATTTGCACGAGAAACTCCAAAGTGCCGCGCCTGCCACTAATTCAACCAAACGCTCGAACGTGCTGCGCCTGTCGCGCAGAGCAAGCTTGCCACAAACTCAAAAATCATCAAAACCTGCCACGAAATCCAACTTTGACACGTTTACGGCACGTCATCGAAAACTAGCACGGGTCTGTGGCGCCAGAATGATTTCGACCTGTTTCAGGCTCGCCAAAACGAGCCGATTGTACGACAGGGCCAACGAAAATGACACTCGTGCAAACACTTGCGCGCGCCTGCCAAGCAGGACGCCTCAAAGCGACCACCCTGGATCGCAAATCCTACCGGCGCGGCAACGAGAACACGCAGCCTTCCAAAACACTGCACTGCGCCTGCCAGGCGCCTGCGCAGCAAACCCACACGTCGATCTTGCGAAGCTACAATTCCCGCACCGGGCCAATGAAAACAGCCCAATGAAAACAGCGCTTGCCGATCCATCAGAAACACGCTTCCACGACGAATCCCAATGGCACACACTTAGCGCCTCACCGCGAACGGTTGCGGACGGTTGCGGACGGTTGCGAACTCTGGAGCAACTCCTCGCGAACACGGCCTCCACCCGCAGACCCACACTTATAAACGGGAGCCCTTCGCCACACATTCGGGAAAAGGAGGGCACCAAAACAAGAAGAGACACTTTTGAAGCGTATACCAAAAACGAGGGCCCCAATCTTTTGCTGAAAAAGGAGGGCGCCAAACGGGGCCGCGGCGGGAAAAAAATGGCGAGAAACCGCCGGGCACCAAGCAAGCTCCAAACCAATCAGAGGGAGGCTGAAAACCAAAAGTGTGTGTCAAAATCGAGGACCCCCAGATAGTGGCGGGTTTCCTTGGCTGCCCGTTGAGCAAATATGCAACCACCCAAAATACGCCGCTTTTGTTCCGGAAAAAAGTGGGACAACAATCAAAACCTGGAAAAATGAAGGTTAGTAAGGGACAACCTTCTTAATTCTTCACAATTACCACCATTTAATACCGGGTTTTGACAAGTGACTCATCTGGCCATGGGTCAAAATCCGGTACCCCCAGTGAACATCCCAATCCAACCACTAAAATAGGAAGCCTAAAATGGGTGGTGAATTCACAAATCCCAAAGGTTGAACGACCACCACAGACATATTGATGATGACTCAGGTGGACTTCGTGGCGAGGACGGCCATCAACACGGTGGAGATGGCCGTGGAAATCCTCGCGCGGGGCTTCTCCGACTGGAGTGCCAGGTGGGCCAACCCGGTTGGGACCAAAACGAACGAGTCCGAGTTCTAGCTACGGGTCACCTTTTTTTGGACACCGAAAACGGGTACCCTCCAAAAACAAGTTTTTTTTGGACCCCAAAACGAGTACCCTCCAAAAAACCATATTTTTGCAAGGTGGGTTGTCTTTTTGTTGGGGGACCGGCGAAATCCTAGTCGGTTTGGCAGGAATGAAATTTCATTCTAGAGCCAATAAGCGGTGAAACTGTCGCTGAGGTGTGACATCACCCACCCCACTGTCGGAGTTTCCACCCATGCGCTTGACGTGAACTTCGGCAGGCAGGGTTTTTGGCAAAACCTGCTTCAACCAGGAAACTACACACAAAATTCCCAGCACCGATTTGTCCCAATTCAGGCTGTTTCAATAATCAGGGTCAGTTCCCAACTGCTGTGATCGGATTTTCTTACAAAAGATCTGCCAGGCAGAGGTGCACTGTGAGCCTGATGGGTCAGGGGCTCACGCTGTTCGACTTCAACTTCGGGACCAAACGCGCGACGTTCCCCTCGGAGCTCCGGGCCGTGCTTGCCATGGGAAGTGAGCTGCAGCACTGCGCGCACGCGCACTCTGCCCACGCCCCCTGGACCCGAAGAAGCCTTTACAAATGGGCGTGAGTGCCATGTTTTTTCCCACCGCTTGAGGGTCCAGGTGGCGAACCTCGAACGGGTTGGGTTAGTGTGGTCAAAAACAGAAGGCGCTGGTTTAGATGGGGTTTTATCCATTGCCCAGGGCCATCTATAATTCAAGAGACTCTTTTCTTCAGCGATGTTTCTTCGGGGCTTCTGTGGACATGAGCCGTGAGGAAGTGATTAAGTGTCTTGGCTTCAAGATCATCGAGCGGGTGCCGCCTCTCAGCTACTTGAACCGCATGCAGGACAGTCGAAACAGGGAACAAGGAATGGTCCCAAGTCCCCGAGCGCGGCCAAAAGCGGCCTCACTTTTGAACTAGAAGTTTTGGGTAGAAGTCTTTGAGCCATTTGTTGAGTCAATTGGGGTGCATCTGCGTTTTGGGGAGGGTTCTTTGAGTAAATTGGTGTGAATTGTTGCTTGCTTGACTTCTTTCAAAATAGCTTCAGCTTCAAAGGAGTTTTCAGCTTCATAAGAAATTTCAAGTGAACAGTTGTTGGTTCGTTCAGATCGTTGATTGCACGCAGGACATGCTCTCGGAGTTTTTACAGGACTTTTCACATATCGCCTCCGGCTTGGTGCGACAATCCTTGAACGAAGGCTGGGGAGGATGAAGCAAAAGACAAAGGAGGTTGCTAAAGAACACGTAGCTGATAGAGCCATGTTTCGCCTGCTTCCATCGGAAGGCGTTTCCTTGGTGCAGAAGGCTGCCGAGTCCAAGTTCGGGAGCACTGATAGCCCGCCTGTGGTACACCACCAGGGCGAGAATTTGATCATCACTTCGCACACTCAACGCGCCAAAAACCCGCCCAAGCTGGACCGGACGCGGACGTCGATGTCCGCTCTGCAAGCGGATCCTGCAGGCGACCAGTCCAAGCAACTTATTTGTTGCACGTCCTCTTGGTTTCCCGGCATCGGACGGAGCATTTGAACAACTCGGTTTCCCAAAATGTGTATCGACCCTTTTTCGGCTTAACCCCGCGTTCCAGCGTGGGTTTCCAACGTGGGCTTTCAACGAGGTTAAAACCAACTTGGATCTCCAACTTGGGAGACGAGACCCAACTTGGGTTCCTCAGCTTGGGTTCCCGCCGGCTGGCTTCAGTATTTTACCATGATCAAAGTCACCCCCTAAGTGGTGGGTAACAGGGTCCAGAAACCGAATGACACCAGCCCGTCGCGCCCAGAAACGCCCTCTGGCGCTGTGGCTTTCAGCTTCGGAGCAGAGTCTGGCACAGAGGCCACGAAACTCATGACCCAGTTCGGTGGCAGGGAGATGGAGACTTAGCGGATCTTAGCGGGGGAATGTGGGCCATTTTGGGCCTTTGGCCCACCTAGATGTTTTTTCCCCAAATAGTGTTTACACTAAGGGGTTCTTACGGAAAGAGTTAAGGCCTGGTGTAGACCGAGGTGCGGGCTCAAAGAGCTGGCCCTGTGCGTAAAAAGTTGTCTTCGGTGCGATAGTGTCGCACGAAACGGAGGTGCGGACCAGCGCGTGCGTCTCGTTGTGGTGCCGTTCGCATTTTTGTTTTTTGCTGACAGGGGCAACAGCGCGGAGGTACGCGCTAGAAGCCTCGTGCCAAACGCATTTTTTGAAACAAAAATCATTTTTGGCTGGCAGGGGAGCCTCGTGCCAATTGAGACCAAAGTGCGTTTTTTGATGGCAGGGCCGCCGAGCGGTGATATCTTCTTGTCGGCTACGACGCTTGGACAATCGAGCTCTAAAACCATGGCAGTTGTCGCAAAAAGCTGTCTTTCGTGCGACAGCTTCGCATGAAACGCGGCTTGAAAATCGCAACTGCTAATTGCGAAAGTAGTACGCGAAGAGCATTCCGGAGCTCCGGCTGCAATATCGCAACTTTGCAGCGCAAAAGTAGTACGCTAAGTGCGCTTCCGCAGCTCCGGCACCAAATTTGCAAGTTTCAAGTACAAAGAACCCTTCATATTCCACGACCTGCTTTTGGCAGGGGGCTTGTAATTTTGTAGAGGCTGCCTGACTTTTAGGCGGGGGCCACTGTCATTTGGGCGTTCGACACATATGCATACTGGGAGGCATGCAGCGAGGTTCAAATCATGGTGGAACAATGTAACATCGATTCAACAACATGGCAGAACCGATGAACAATCCAGATAATAATCCAACGGTGTTTGACAAATATGCTTACTGGGGGACATGCAGTGAGGTTCAAATCATGACGGAACAGATGGACACATGTCAGAACCGATGAAACGTCCAGATATTAATTGCAATTTACAAGTTCTGTATTGCCTGTGATTGGGGTGTCAGGTGCATCTCTGAGACTTCGATTCACTGATAGTGGTGCTGTGACTGGGGGCAATCAGGCTTCATCACTGTGTGTTTCTCTCAATTTAGGCAGCGTGAGTTTAGCGTGAGATTAGCGTGAGTGCCCCTGTGACGCGGGGCGTCAACGACCCCATTTTAGCGCAAACAACTGTGAAATGTGCGTAAGGCTACTGCGAGTCTAACGCGAGCCTGGGGGGCTAACAATTAATCGTTGCAATTTGTCTGATTTTAGGGAGCGTGAGTTTAGCGTGAGTGCCCCTGTGTGTGGGGCGTTAACGACCCCATTTTAGCGCAAACCACCGTGAAATGCGCGTAAGGCATCTTGAATCGACTTAAACCCTCACCTCAGTGGCATCTTCGTAAATGGAACCCACTAAAACCCTAGCAATTGAGTTTGAGCAAATGAGTCACTGCTGAGTGTGTGTGTGTGACGCGGGTCGCATCGAGAGTATGGAGAAAAAATGCAAAGATCCGGATTTGACTGTTTTTGGGAGTGCCTTTCAAACGGGGGCTGCGCGTAACCATTTACAACGACCTGCTATTGGCGGGGGGCATATCGTACAACCATGTTTTGGCGGGTGGCTGGAATCTGAAGGAAAGGTAGTGTGCGAAGGGCGCTCCCGCAGCTCCGGCCCAAAAACGCAAGTTTCAAGTACAAAAATAATACGCGAAGAGCATTCAAGTAGTACGCGAAGCGCACTCCCGCAGCTCCGGCTACAAAATCACAAGTTTTAAATACAAAAGTAGTGCTCCAGCTGCAAAATCGCAAGTTTTAAGTGCTATGCTCGAAGTGCCCTCCCGCAGCTCCGGCCGAAAAGTCGCTTGTGCGCAAAGTGCATTCCCGCAGCAGTTCCGAGAAGTTGACAGCAGAGATTGGTCGCGCGACACCAAGCTTACTCATCAGAACTTGCAGAAGCTACGCAGAAGAAGGTGCTTGCGCTTGTTTCTCATCTGCAGTGGGACAGGCGTCAGAGCTTACGAAACATTTTTCCAAGTCCTAAGCAGAACAGCAGCGCACGAAGTGCGCTCTCGCAGCGTGCTTTCCCAAAATGGTTTTGTTTTTAATGCTCGTTTCTTGCTACGTCGCGGTACTATTTGGGGTCTCTTGCCGGGATAATTGAAAAGGAAGCAAATGGATTCACTTGGTGGTGGTTTTGCTTTCTGTTTTGTTTCTTTTTCCCTGTCGATCAGCTTACATCTTGAGCATTGTGCGAATCATGTCCCAAAAGGCAGGCGTTCTTCTTCTTGTTTTCCGCGCTTTGGATCATAGTCAGGACACCAGCTCTTGCCTGGCCTTCGCTCCAAGGCACAGAACTGGGCACAACGGCCAAGCGACGCAGCAAAATTGGCAGGTGTCCAATGAGGATGACTTCCTCGCCTTGGATCCCTATGCGGTACCCTGCGGCAACAATTGGATGAAGGACCACTGGGACAGGTGAGGAGAGTTCCGAAAAATGCAACACTAATATCATGGCTGTATATATATATATAATCACCGGCCACCTACAAAACAAATAAGAGACAACAAATCCAAGGCTGGCTCCAACGCCTTTTTCTGTGGAGTTTTTTTGGTGGCCGAGCAGCCATTCTTTAGATTCGCCATTTCTGTTTGAGGTGGCAGGGCTTCTCCTTCTACTCCTCTCCTCTTCCCATCGACAAGTGCCTCGACGGACCTCTTGTCAGCCGAAGATTGGAGTGGAAACCCATCTCCCGGCCTGAGCAAGAAATATGAAAACCACCCACGACTCTTTAGGACACGATGTCCAACCAGTCCAACTCCTTGGTGGTCCTTCTGGGTAGAAACCAACAGGAAATCCACCTGAACGGGTCCGAACACTTTGAGAGGCACCGTCGGTTTCAGGAATCACAAAAACTCACCCAAAAGCGGGGGGGGGGGGGGGGTGGTGCTGAGGTGCAACACCGTGAGCTTCCAATGGGGCATGCAACCCGTGGTGGGCGTGGTGGGGGGCTTGTCTTTCGAGGTGCTGCCCAAACCTTTGGCCAAGGCCTGGGCCTTCACCGACAAAAAACCACCAGATGTGAAGGTTTGGCTTGACGAATTGCTTGGATCCAACAACCCCATGACAGGCTTGAAGCTCTTTTGAAATGCACAAACGGGCCTCGGGGGTTTCCCTTGCCAGGTTTCGAGAGTGTCTTCCCCTGCAAGCTCCTGCCCTGCCAACGTATGCTTCCGGGCCACCATCTAGACATCAACTTTCTTGTGAAAGTGGCCCATTAGGTAGAGACAAGATCTAAAAAAATCCCAGCACCAGTGGGCCCCAGCTTTCCGGGCTCTGCGGGATCCGCGAAGTGGATGGCTCGTTCGATTCGATTCGGGTTGCCGGTTGCTCGGCTAGGTGGATACCACGGTGTGCTGGCCCAACCAACGGCCCGGAGGTGTGGATCTGAGTCTTGGGTGGCGTTCAGCTGACCCCAAGCTGCTTGGTTTCCTTTCCAAGTGGACCACCGTTTCGGTCCATGGGACCTTTGTCTCAGCCATCTTCCAGCCCAAAACGGACTACTCTTTTGAGGTTCCATTTTTTGGACATTTCCAAGATCGACTTCAACAGTCAAACTCAGCTGCCCCCTTTTGGGAAAGGGACATACTGCCGACCCCGGAGCATCAAGCAATGGAACCAAACGCCATTGTGCAGACAACCCTAAACCCTAAACCCAACCTCCCTCTAAATAGTGGTTAGCGAGAATGCCCCTCAGAGCAATTTCGAGAACGCAACATGCGACCACATGAACAGAGTTCCGCAGTTGTCCCCTGCCATCAAACCCATTTTGTCTAAAGCCTTTTATATATATATATATATATATATATATACATATATATATATATATGGTCACCCCCCCCCAGGGCCTACCTTTCTACTTTTTGCATGAGCAAATATATATATATATATATATATTCCATTGCTTTTTTCTAAAGGCTGATGATGTGTGTTTTTCATGTTTAGTTTTTTGTTTCTTCTTTTTTTCGGGGCCTAAGGAGCGTGCTGCGTTCCGAGATCTCCACTGGGAGCGTGTTGCTCTACAGCCGTACCGTGCGGCTCGTCAAGCGCTTTGGTGGCTACGCTCCCTGGGACCATAACAGCCTCCGCACCGGCTGCTTGGAGTCGACCAAGGATTCACACGGCTCCTTAAAAAATATATTTTGCCCAGTTGAAACATGTTTTTTCCTCCAAAATAAAGAGAAACCATCATTTACAAGGCAATGCTCAGGTGCATAACGTAAGGATCCCTGATTCATGTTTTAGTGTGGTGTGTTTTGTGGTGTTTTGCGAGGCGATCTCCTTTCACCTTAACGGCTTTAAAGGGAAGCCAGACAGGAAAGCCAACCGCCATTTTGCAGTTGTTGTTGTGTTTTTCCCCTCATAATTCATAGCTGCGGGTGCAGCCACGAAGAAACATCTGACGATTGGTGACCTTTAGGGGGTCATTCAGGGCTAGAGCCATAACCTTGTTGATAGCCTTGAATCAGTTTTGGACAGTTTGCTGGCGGCTATTAAGGGAGAGAAGGAAGGGACAAACAACATATATGGCTGTGGCTCAAAAGACCGGTACCAAAATGGAACCCTGGTAAGTGGAAACACCCATAGGCCAACCTTCCTATTCAGTTGAGAGCAAAATTTCCCGACTGTGGCAAGTTTGGAGGTGTCTCTTGAAGAAAGCCCGACATTTGATGTGCCGACCCCAAATGATTGCAAACAAGGACAGAAAACACAACGTCCGCGCCCTAAGAATCGAATGGTACCTCTTGCGAGGTGAAGTTTCCAATGGCCTACCCCTCTCCAATGGTCTTTCTTTTTGTAACATATGACTCATTTGCTATTCAGTTTATTTTTTCCTACGGGCACGTCACAGGACTTTTGCAGGGGAGGTGAAACGACCTCCCCGGCGGTTCCTGGCGTGGGGCTTTCGCCCGGGAGCTTTCGCGAGGCTTTCAGACGTGGCGCAGCCCGGCTGGGCTGGCCAAGGGCGAGAGCAGGCATGCCTTCGACACCATGAGGAGGACCAAGCGCTGTTTCGGGAACAGCCTTGGGAAACCAGAAAAAAAAGGTGTCCTTTTTGGTTGTTCTGGCAGAAAAATAGATGGCCCTGGAACAACCGTGGTTTCATCATCTACGTACCAGGGCCCTCTATTTTCCCAAAAGGAGACCCATGGAAACCACAGTAAAACTACCCGCAAAACATACGTGTCGCCCACAAGGTCTTATTTTGATGTATGATCGTGTTGGCAGGTTTAGGGTTCTTAGGGTTTAGGTTTAGGCTTGTTAGGGCTTAGGTTTAGGGTTATCAGGGTTTAGGCTGAGGGTTTTTGAGGTTTAGGTCTAGGGTTTTCAGGCTTTTTATGGTTATTTTTGGGTTTAGGTTACCTAGAGTTTTTAGGGTTTAGGTTTACGTTTTTAGGGTTTAGGTTTAGGGATTTGAGGGTTGTTAGGGTTTAGGTGTAGGGTTTCTGTTCCCTGCCCTTCTTGTCCAGCACGAGGGCACCATGACAGAGAATGTGTTCAGGATTTAATCTCCAAGCAGGGTCATAAGCTTGCGCCGCAACATCTTTGGGAAAGTTCATCCACGCTCCTGCCACAGGGTTTAGGTTTGCTTGGAGCTAACCAGGAAAAGTCGCGCGCTCCATGAAGGGGGTATGGAGCATGAAGCTGGGGTGGGGCCCGGGGCTCGGAAGTGCGTTTTGCGCCTGCGCTTTTTGGAGGTCTCGGGGACCCGTTTCCGGGCGGTCGCGGGCAACACATACTGAGACTACTGTGAACTCCGCAGCCATGCCGCCCCAGAGCCGTATTTCTAACTCGTACACATCGCTTCGGGTTGGGCCAACTTAAGCGGCTGACCAGGAAGGCACAAGCTTCAGCTGATGTTCCTGGTAGGCCCCAAATCCGATGAACCGTTTGAGGTTAAAAGCTAAAATGGAACGCAGCGTCCCCAATTGTTTTTGACATCAAGATAGACTCTCAGCCAAGGTTCCCTTCTGGGGACATCACCAACGTATTTGCGTTTACCTTGGGGTGCTCGAAAAATCGCCGCGGGTTGCAACTGGAGGACGTCGCTCTTGGAGACCAATCGCAGCGAGGAGAGCGAAGAAACTGAGGCAGAGGGCGAGTTCGAGTGGCAGACGGATGTGGAGGCAAGATGAGACGAGGGTAATCTACTTTACCACAAAAAAGGAAACAGTGAAGCAGTGATAGATTATTCCCTTTGACTGAATCCTCACAGAATTCTGATCTTCGCCAATTTGGGCGCATCAATTAAGGTTCATATCCAAATGGCCGCCTTAAAGCCTCCAAAAGCCAAGACTCAAACATCCACAAAACAAATACAAATATCCCTCCACCCCATCCACAACTCCCCCAACAAAAAAAAGCAAGAAAACAGATCGTAATCCCCCGCAAGCAAAACATGAAAAAGGATACCAATGGTTCAAGAACCCCATCCAAAGCTCAGGATCTGTACTTGGCCTCCGTCGACTACGGCCACCGCTTTGCCGCCAACAAGACCTCCGAGCTCCGTGGCGAGGCGGCGGCACGGCGGCTCAGTGAGATGGCCACGAAGGCGGGGGGGTCGACGCGGCAGGTTGGCAGAGGTGTCCTTAGCTCGGGAAATGGATGTCTTCGGTTTAGATTTGGTTTTATGCGCCATGGAGTTAGAAAGACATGGTAGGTTGCAATGGTAGATCGGGGAACTGGGCGTCGGCTGGACTGGCTCGAGAAAGAAGCTGATCAACTGGACGGCCCAAAATGCCCAAAAAAGAAATCGCTTGACCCGTCAACCGAATGCTGTAGTTTTTGTCCGGTCTCATTTGCAAGCCTCTTTGCGACGAAAATGGCGGGCTTCGGTGTTCCTTTCTTGGTGTCCCAAGCTCTTTTTGCGCAACGCAGGGCTGTCCATGTGCCCTTTCCATGAATGAGGCGGATTCCGCAACGGAGCTGTTTGGCTTCTCCAAGCAGGGGATGATGAACCTGCAGGTCAAAGGCTTGCTGGATGGCCGCTGGGGTCTGGACCAACATCTGTGTCCAAGAATTTGTGTAGTCCAATGAAACTTTTACATGTCAACATGACTCTCGCTATGTCTCCAATCGGCATTTGTATTTGTATGTCAATACACCAACCGCATCCAACCGCCTTCCAAAGCCACGTCGTTGTTTTTTCTTTTTCTTTTTTCAGAAACAAAGCACTTCAAGATCTCATCAGCTGGCCCAGGCACCTCTCTGCAGCTGGACATCCAGATGGGCCTGGGGCCCTTCCAGAGCCAAGGGCGACGGATCCCTCTGCTGGACCTCCGGCAGCAGCTGGAGGCGGTGCTGCAGGGTCTGCCCTTCGTCTCGCAGGGCAGCAGGGATAAGGCGCCGGACAGCGCCGAGCGGACCTTGGGACCTGCCTGGCTCCAAAATTCAAACGGGGTGTGGGTCAAAACTAAACCAGGAATTGGACCACAGGTTTTAGTCCTTGGTTACATTTACCACCTGGAGCACCCTTCGTTACATAAATTCATGCCCTTAGCCCAAACGTATTGCAAAACCAGGGGTCGTCACCAAAATCTGGTAAACGTATACTTTTTCCTGCTTCGAGTGATTTTCCCAAAACCGGGCTGGCCAAGATGATCGGTCGCTGAATATTCACAAGGAGCGAGCAGAAATCGAAGTGCAAAACGAGCACAAATATCCGCAAAACGAGCGCAAATATCCGCAAACGAGTGCAAATTTAAAAAAAACGTAGCAATCCCGCCTTCCTCTGGATGGAAGAAGGGGATGTGGTCGAGCGTTGTTCGGGGGGGCGGGCGTTTTTTGGGGGGGTCGAGCAGAAATCCGCACTTCGAGCGTGGTTTTCTCGTAAGAAAAGGGCACGTTGGGTGCCCCCAGGGTTCCATGTTGGGTACCGATTTTTGAGCCACCACCAAGCATTGGGATGGGGAAAGTCCAAACCGGTACAGAGTGGTTAGATCAACCAGGTTTGATTGTGGTAGCCTGAAGCTTTCCTCCCGACTGGCCGGAAGCTCCCTCAAATGGGTTACCAGGTCTTCCATTTCGGGGTCCGTTCGGGAGCTTCCGGCTGGTAGTCTGGGGGAGGGTAGCTTCTGGGGGTTGTCAAAGTCAGAGAGAGTGGTTTCCCTTCAACCGCTCACTTGCGGGGTGACTCTGATAGTGGTGAAGTAATGGGGCCAGTCTTTTCTCTGGGGGTTTTCGTAGCCCCGTTTTTCTGTTTTGAACGGAGAGCGGCCGTGGCTTGTTTTTGTTGTTCTCGCTCCGAAAGATGTCGATACAAGTAAAAGGTGGGCCTTGTTTAAACACGGTAAAGGCCGTACAAGTTTGATTTGGGGGAGGTTGATGCCCCAAAAGAACTTGGTCTCTCTCAAGTTCTGTTATCAGACCACATGGTCCGTTTTGGCAAATCCCCACAGAGACCTTTGGGGGGATCTCCCCATAGGGGAAGAAGCTCGAGGTCAAAACAAGCCACCAGTTGGGCCTTGTTCGAACACGTAACCTGAAGAATCCTCCGAACCCTTCTAGCCCGTCAGAAGGTAAGCAGGGTGGGGCCAACCTGTTGTTGGTATCACATTCCATCCGCTGAACGGTTTGAATCTGTTTGAAGAGCCTCCCTCCCGGAACTTGTTTCAGATGGCTGTGGGTCAAAAATGGGTAAATTTGGAAAATGGAACCCTGGTAAATGGAAAATACCAAAACCGCTCGTACCCCCAGCTCTTTAATCTTGCGCCAGATGTCGCAGGCCCTTGGCACGCTGAACCACTTCGCAGTGGTGGACACCAAAAGCTCCGAAGGCCTCAGGCTGAGGCTTGGATCCACGGTGGCTCTGCACAGCACGGTGCACAACCGCTTCGTGGTGATGAACCATCACAACATGTTTCTTGGCCAGCCATCCCCCTAGCCTTTTTAGCCCAACAAGCCTTTTGGTCTTTTAGCGCGTAGATGTTCATAGTTTCCGTATGTAACCCACTAAAAAAGTTCGTCACTAGCGGGGATCTGAGCCCAGGTTTGGCGGCGGCCACAGAAATCCCGATCCGCTTCCACGCTCGATGACCTGGGAGCGGTTCACGGTGGTGGACGCCGGGAACGGGCAGATCGCGTTGCACAGCGCGCGTTGGAACCGCTTCGCGAAGACGGGGGGAGGCGTGAGCCCAGTTCAGGCGGCCAGCAGGCTCCCGCCCGCGCACGAGTGGGGGGCCGAACGCTTTACCGTGGTGGTGGATGCGGCCAGGTCACAAATCGCCTTGCACAGCAACAACGCCTTCCTTCAAATGACCCCAGACGGCAAAGTGCAGAACACCGGGCACATGGATATAAACCATCTTCCGGATTCGCACACCTGGGAGAGGTTCCGTGTGTTGCAAGTGGAAGCCTATTTGCAGCCGGGTGACACGGTGGCTTTGCACTGCGCAGTGCCTCGGTGATGGACATGTCTCGCCAATTGATCTCAAATTGGCCTGTGTCAAAATGGCGGGAAACCAACAATTGCTGCGGTGTTCCCGGTTTGCCTTCAAGCCATCCCCAAAACGGGTCCCCCCCAAAAAAGAAAGCAGATCCAAACGGCTGAAAGTTAAGAGGTTAGTTGGTCACTTGGATCTAAACAACTTGAAGGGATCTTGGACCCCCCAAATGGATGATGGACATTTGGATCAGCCACCTTGGGTCCAAGCCGAAAAAGGTGTTGACTGGCAACGCTGGAACCAAACATTTGTGCTTGTCTCAACATGCGGGTCCCCGCCCCCCCCCCAAAAAAAAATGGTTTTTGCTTGCTTTCCAACCAAAAGCCAAGCAAACAAGGTTCGACGCAGTTGGATTTCCAAGATTTGGATCAAAGGTCCACAATCGATTTCTCCGCATGAATGCCAACGGGATCATGGACCGCAGTGACGCGCTAAACTGGAACGCCCTTAACGGAGGCTACACGTGGGAGCGGTTTACAGTTGTGGACGGTCAGGACGGCCAGGTGGGACGTTCAAAACCTGACGTGTTTCTTTCTCAAAAACCAATATAGATCAAATTCATTCCGAACATGGGATTTGCACCCCCTCTTAGTTGGTATGTTAAGGGACACCAAAAAAAGAATCCCAAGCCATGTTTGTTAGTTGTTTTTTCAATAGAAACACTTTCATCATTCCCTAGTGGTTGAAATTTAGAAGCTCGAGAGAAGCTTTTGTGAAACACCACGGCACATGGTGTTTTTTGTTTTTCTCTCTTGGTTGGGGTGATGTGTTTTTTTTTGTTATTTTTGTTCCGGCCCTCGTACCCAAATGGAACGAGAGGTGGCTCTTCACTCCGCTGTCCACAATCGTTTCGTGAAGATGGATGGCGGTCACATGTCCGGAAGCGCCCACAAGGCGGCCGATGCTCTACCCCCGAAAAACGAATGGACTTACGAGCGGTTTGCGGTGGTACCGGCCATGCATGGCGATGAGAACGTCATCGCCCTGCACAGCACGTTCCACAACCGCTTCATCGCGATGACTTGGGACGGGGTCACGGCGCATGCCATGAACGCCCATGAACTTCCCGACGGCGCGACCTGGGAGAGGTTCCGCGTGGTGAAGCTCTGATTCGCCAGGCGCCAGGCTGTGCAAAGCACATACGGGACAAGGGCGGCGCACGAGACCGCAGGCAAAATGTGCAGGAATTTACACAGCACATTTTGAGATTTCTTACGAGCTCGAAATGTCCAGATGAGTTTTGGGTTTCGGAAGGCCTGATCCGTGACAATCCGCATGTCTTAAAATGGTTTGTTTTCCTTGGGTTCCCTTCAAAGCAACCCCCCTCAAAGACACGCATGGAACTCAGGAATTTCTCCCAAGGGAGGTTTCTGAAGATGATCAGAGTCGATGTCTCAGCTGGACAATTGCCATGCCGAAAAAGGGTTTCCTCTAAAAGGCCCACTTGATTGTGTTTTTTGGGGGGCCACCCAAAAATTGTGGTTTTCCCCTGCAAATCACAAAAAGCAGACACCCATTTCTGGAGTGTGCCATGCTTTTCGACCTGATTTCAGGTTGCCCTTTTCAAGCGGAGGCTTTGCCCAGGCCTCTTGCGGCTCCCGAAGCCAGCCACTGGCGTTCCTTCCTTACGCTGCAAGTCGTGGGCCCACAAAAACAGGAAGCCCTAGTGAGCCTGCGAGCTTTTTCTCCTACTGGTAAATAGGATTTAGACGTCCCGGTTGTTAAGATCAACGCCACCGGTCTTTCCCTGCGGTTTCTTCTGAAGCTGCTCATGTGGCGCACTCCCGTGGGGAGTGTGCCGTGGGCTGTGATTAGCCCTTGAGCGGATCAAGCTCTTCTGTGGACCGCTCGTTGAGAAGCCCTCCGGGAGCCCCTCCGGATTTGCAGAGAGCTTGGAGAGGGAGGAGGGTCGGGGGAGTGGGTCCGTACTCACTCCCGGTGTGGAGACCCCTTTGGGGGTCTCCAGTGGTGAGTAGCTAAAGGAGGAGGAAAAAGAGGGAGGAAAGGGTGAGGGAAAGGAGGGGAGGACAGGAGGAGCCGTCGAGTGATGTGAGTGATAGCCGCGAGGAGGCGGAGCGGTTGAGGAAAGAAAACGAGAGGAGGAAAAGAGAGAAAAAGGAGGAGAAGAGGGACGTCCAGGAGAGAAGGAGTGAGCCGCGGAGAGAAAGATCGGGAGGAGAAAAGGGAGGAGAAAAGGAATCTGAAACGGGGAACGGAGAGACAGTCGCGGCAGAGGTCAGGAGCGAGGAAAGGAAAAGAAAAGGAGGAGGTCAGCCAGCTCAGCCCGGGAGGAAGGTCAGGTGTGGTTCAGGAGGAGGTGCCGGAGCCAACAGTTGAGGTTCCGGTGATCGCCCGACCTGCGAGTTTATTCAGCGAGAGTGGGTGGACGAAGGGTCGCCCGCCTCGTCTCGGTCAGCAGGAGGGAGGCGTGGTGGAGCAGAGGAAGAAGAGGAGAGAGGAGAGGATTCAAGGAGCCCGGTGAGGAGGCGGCCTCCGGATACTGGGTCGGGTCGATCCCCAGCACGGCCAACAACCCAGCATTGCATCGGGAAGGAGGTGGCGCACGGTCGCGGAGCCCTCGGAGGAAAGAACAAGGTATGGTGTGTACAGCCGACACCGGGGGGTCGGAACCCCCCGCAACCCTACTGTTTTTTGGGGGGTTCGGGTCTGGGCAATGTTTTCTGACGCTGCACCAAAACCGGGTCTAATATCTATGTTTTCCAGGGCCAAATTGAAATTTAAAAAATGTTTCAGCAAATGGCTTCTTTTGCAGGCTATTTTCCCGAATTGCGCAATCGACAACTTAGGTTTAGGGGGGAAGTAGCATCAACAAGAAAAAACGCGTAAGTGCATTTTAAGCAGACTGTAGCTACAGATGCGTTCTTGGGTCTTGCCAGGCCATGCCAGGGAGCCAAGTTTTCGACGGTTTGTACATTGTCCGCAGGGGGTTCACGCCAAGTGTGGGCAAATTTGGCCACGGCTGCCAAGTTACAGCGCGCTAGCCCAATCCGGGCACCGGACCTGTTTCTTTCACAGGCTTGTCGCATTTGGGCGCATGCCCTCGCTTTTTTTGGGAACTTCGCACAAAAGCATCGCGACGCGGGCGCTGCGTCGCACAAAATGGCACGCGTCGTCATTCTCGACACAGGATGTCTTAAATCAATAGCACTATTCAAAAGCAACCAGAGACATCGCAAAGAAACGCGGTGAAACCTGGCGATATGGAAAAAATGAGGCCAGCTGCAAATCCGCAGGAAGCCAGGCAAACGAATGTTTTTTCGTTCGCATCTTCAAGGCGAAAACAAAACGCTATTGATTTTTGTTCCAATGGACATACCTACTGCTCACAGTCACACGGCTCTCAAGGCAACGCGGGGCCATCCAGCAAAGGTCTTGGCCGAGCCTCGGCCATAGCAGCATGAAAATTGATCGATGGCCAATGGCAATTGACGGCAAGTGTGCGCCGAAATTTGTCAGGTCCAATGGCAGATAAATATGGCTACAGTGTAGCAAGAACTCGACATAGCATATGGCAGGGCTGCGAGCTGGAGCTAGCTTGGGTTGACTGTGCATGCGCTCTGCGCGCAGGAGCGCAAGCAACAGTCACCTCAAGCTGCCGCCAGCTGACGTCACCAAGCCAGGCCAAAAAGCAGCACCATGTCAATAGCATCGTCAACTCGCAGCTGCCAGGCAATGCGTTCTCCGTAAGCTTGGCTTGGCTTCCCATGCGACGCGGGTACACTTGAGTGAGACTTACCTTCGACCGCAACCATCTCACGGGACTCACGGGACTCACGGGGCGCCGCGATGCGTTTCCCAAAGCGGCTGCTTTCGTGTCATTGGGGCAAGCGCAGCCCCCGCGTGCTGCTCCACAGCCGTTTGCGCAAGATACCGCGGCTTTCGCTGAGTTGCAGCTGCAATGTAGTGGCTGGATAGCGTAGCGACCTCAAAAGCAGTTCTCAAGTTTTCCAATCTATAATTAGCGTGTTCTAGCTGTCGGCGTGTCCTTGTGCGCAAGAAATCTTTCCGCACGCGCTCCGGAGAGACAGACTGACTGTGCATGCTCACTTCAGCTCAGCGGCCCTTGCGAATACTCTATGCGCATGTTTAGCGAGGGCGCGGGCGCTGCGGAGCGCGCGACCACAATGCTTGCTGCGCAAAAGCTAGCAATGTCCTCGGAGTCCTCGCTGCGCAGAGGAACGGTAAGAAGCGTAAGCGGAAATGGAGCAAGCAGCCACCAAGCCCTGCAGACACAGGTCGTCCCGGTCGTCAATGTTTTTTGGCTGAGCGGGTAGAGATAAGCCCAGGAGTGGCTGTGGCCACAGTCGGTGTTCAAACCGACTTTGTTTTTTACTTGTTGGCAGATGCGCCTGGCGACGATTCTGAGTCATCTTCTAATACAGGGGATGTGTGTCTCACCCCTGTTTCGGAGCCAGAAGGGCGCCCGTATAGCGACAGCAACCGAAGTAGAAAATTGGAGCGCGCGAAGAAAGGAGCTTGGGCAGGGGGTTGCTTCACCCCCGGTAGTGTCTGGGTCTGCGCGCAGCAGTACAAAAAGCTTGTTGGAGCTTGCGCGAATGAAAACACGTGTGTAGTCGCTGTGCCTCAGTGCTCGGCTGACATTCTGCCGTGCTTTCTAGCCAGAGCTCGGGCTGCGTTACTTCTCACCCAACCGCTCTTGCCTGGCCTGCCACGGCTCTGAGAGCGAATGGGATTTTCGATCTCCTTGTCTCGCTCTGACTCTGCAGCTGCAATGGCAGGCTTGGGGCCTAATGGGCTAGCCAGAGCCTTCGAAAGAGCGGCAGCATTTCCATCACCATGCGCTTTTCGCATGGCCTGAAAAGAAAAGGAAAACAGTATGATCTGCTGAAGCCAACGCGCTGCGATCAAGGAAGAAAAGTGTCAAGACAGGCTTGCAAACGACTCTTAGCGCAGCTGGACTGCAGACAGACTGTAGGTTTTCTTTTCCGCGCTCATTGCTGACGTCACCGGGAAACATAATAACACCTGATGGAGGATGGAGGACTCCAGCTGGGCTTCGCCAGCTTTCTGTCTTTATCTACAGTGGATGGTCCAGCAAGCCATAATGACGTCCGAGCACGTGGCACGGGCAACGGCGCGACCCACAGTCAATGCCATCGCATCCTACACTGACACCCGAAACACCACCATATGCCATTGGTTCTACATTGGAAAGCCACTGTGCCAGCTCTGGCGGTCACTGTTTTTCCATCTGGGAAAAGCACGAACCACTCATCTTGAATGTTCTTAAACTTGAGGCCAGCGAATGAGCCAAGGCATCACGGAATAACGTTTCCATCAATTGTTTCCAGTTGAACCTGGAACCCCGTTGCCATCGAAAGTGTCAGCATGGTCTTGGCCAGGTTCAGAGTCACTGGCAAGTCTGGGTTTGGGTTTGGGTCAGAGTCATCATCACAGTCATTGCTGAACACCTCACTTCACCCCTGTCTTTCCGTGTAGCGTCCTGGAGATCCGTGCCCGAGGCACAGGATGGCTCACGCCGGCCAGTGTGCGAGTTCTGAAAAAGCAACGCCACGAGCAGAGTTTGAGGCGGAGGAGCCAGGTTCTCTCCCTTCAAACCTGTCTCTCGCACGTTTGCTTGCCGGCTCAGTTGGCTTCTCTGACGTGTCACTGCGATTGTCATCTTCAATTTCCCAGTCAGGGCCCAAGGGGTGGGAATCTTGGTCCAGGTTGTAACCATACGCACGCCCCACTTTGCCCTGTGTGTCCTTCTCGCTTTGCGCAACAAGGCGTCCATCGACCGCGCAGCGCTCATCCAATTGGGCCACCCTATCTGTGTTTTCTTCTCCGGGGACGCTATTGCAGACTCTTGAGTGGGACACGCTGCGCCGACACCTGCAAGCGCGTTTTCCTCTCCAATGGGGCAAGCCTGCAAAATCAGCTTTGTGATGAAATGATGACAGGGTCCCTGGCGTGCAACGAACATTGGAAGTGGGGTGGGGCCGGGCTTGCGCAACGAGTGCAAGCAGCCAACATGGCCAAAATGGGTCATGGGGAGGGGCCGGAGGAGGGGAAGGAAGTGAGCCAAGAGCGGGGGCAAATTAAACCGCGCTCGTTCTAAAACTCTACCAATCCGAACTCACACTCTGCACACCTGCGCCTCCAGACAGGCCAGACTGCCGGCAGGCGCAGCTGCTAGAGAGCTACATGGGCTGGCAGCAGCGCTAAAACGCGTGGCAGGGTTGCTGATGTGCAGCCCTGAAGTTGACACAACCCCGGCTGATCAGTCAGACTCAAAATATTCCAAGGTTACGCCCAAACGCGAGTTTTTCAGGTCGGGCTCGGCGTTCACGACCTTCCTCATAAAGCCGATCGACTTGGGCAGGACGGCGTCGGAAACAATGGTCCAGCGCACTCCGTGCCAGGTATCGCTGCCGCACACGGTCAAGTAAGTGTGGTCGCCTGGCACAATCAGCATTTTTGCCGGGGGTTAGCAAGCATTGCCACTCCAGCTTCTCTGCCCAGTCGTCCGCCCCACTTTGACTCATCAGCACCAGCTCGCTATTGACTGCGCTGCTGCTTTCAGGGCGCTTGGAGCCGTTGCAAAGAAGTTCACCTTCCAAGCACATGATGCACAATGGCATGTGAAAGTCTGTGCTGAAATTCCAGCGGTGGGAGTCTGGCTTTGCCTGGCAGAACTGCGCCGACAAGCCATCTTTCACCATGGGGGGCATGCCTTGCAGTTGCTTTGCTTCCGGGATCAGTCCACGAAGCAGCTTTTCCACTTTGTTCCTGACCGCAGTCTTCGTCACAATGCCGGAAGCGACGCAGGTCTTGCTCTTTGCCATTGAGTCTTGCAAGTATGTTCTTTGCTCTTTGTAGTATGCCAGGTCGACCAACGCGGACCAAACCGAAGAGGTGCGCGCTTCCGGAAACATGACCGGCTTGACAGAGCTTTCCGCAGACAGCGCTGTTGCCGCGCTCCACTCCAGCCCCCAGTCATCTGCCCGCAGCGTCTTCTCTTTCAAGCACTTCAAAGTCATCGCTCAGAACGCGGTGGCCTCTGGCTGAGTGTCAGGCCTCGCTTCTTTGCCTGCTCAAGTTTCTTTTTCAAGGTTCCGGCGTATGCGCGAAAGGTGCACAGAGCTTCCTTGTACTCCTTCAAGGCAGGGTTGGACGTATGCCAATTTTTCAGGAGATGAGGAAGCTGAGGTCGCGGCCAACACCTCAGCCGTTTGACTGGCATCGTGTAGCACACTCCTAGTCACTCTCCTGGTTTGCCACGTCCTCTTCTACTGGCTTCTCAGGCTTTGCACAGCTTTGCGGAAGCCGGCTTCAAACTGAAGCTTTTCCAGCTCCAAGGTTTGGATCTTTTGCTGGCCACCCCCGCTCTTGCCTCCAGCCCCGGCCTTCTCAGCTTTGGCCCTGCAGCTCTTGATCCAAGCCAACTCGCGCTCAGCGTGCACAGCTCGCATGGCCTCCGTGTCGTCCTTCACCCTGAGAAGGTTGGAAGAAGCAGGCAACTCCGCCCGCGAACTGTTCTTGCTCGAGGCGGCGTCTGCTTGAATCACCCTTCCGGCTCTGTCCATTCGAGAGCCGCTAACTTCTTGGAAGTTATCGTAGTCTTCCGACGCGCGCAGATCCATCCTCTGCTTGACGATTTTCGACACGCCGCGCTCCTCTTCCGAGGACACGGTCACACCTCCAAACACGTGGAGACAAGTTTCACCGCGAACAATCTTAGTCTGCCCGCACGGGTCGTTGACGGTCTCCTTGCACTTCGCTTCTGCCTCTTTGACGTTTGCCGCAAGACCAAGCTGGATCTCTTGTTGCGCCTAGAGTCGGAACGAAAGGCAAGTGTCCACCACGGCATTGCGGAGCTTTTTGCTCTCCTGCTCTTCCACTGCTCCCACGGCAGAAGCACACGTTCGCTTCGTGCTTTTGGACTCGCCTGCCCTCTTGGCCTTCTCGGCCCTATACCAAGCCGCTTTTTCCTCTGGCTTTTTCCTTGACAGCCCCGCGCGGACAGATTCCGCCGCCTTGCACGCCTCCCGCTGGTTTTCTGTCTCTGTCGCAGTCAAAGACTTTGCAGCAGCCCTGCAGGCACGGACCAGCGCCTTGTCGCAGTACACCCTTGACAGACCCCTCTTCATGTGACTCATCATACAAGTCCAGGACTCGCTGCAAATAATCTGTGATGTCCTCCCAATGCATCAAACCTGGGCGTGACATGGCGGGATGTGGCGGGACAAGGCGGGACAAGGGCGGGACAATGGGAGGGACATGGCGGGACAAAGGCGGGACATGACGGGACAGTGGCGGGACAGGGGCACAATGACCATTTCATGCATGAAACCCACAGGCTGCACAGAGCAGCTTTCTAAACACAAGACTGCTGAAATTTTGCCTGCTTTCTCGGGTGAAACCCAAAGGTTGCACAGAGAAGCCTTCTAAACACAGGACTGCTGAAATTTCACTGCTTTTCGGATGAAACCCAAAGGCTGCACAGAGAAGCTTTCTAAACACAGGACTGCTGAACGTTTCACTGCTTTTTGGATGAAACCCAAAGGTTGCACAGAGAAGCTTCTAAAAACAGGACTGCTGAAATTTCAATGCTTTGTGGATGAAACTCAAAGGTTGCACAGAAAAGCCTTCTAAACACAGGACTGCTGAAATTTCACTGCTTTGTGGATGACGTCCACCGGTTCCACAGAGCAGGTTTCAAACACAGGACTGCCGAAATTTCACTGCTTTGTGGATGAAACCCAAAGGTTGCACAGAGAAGCTTTCAAACACAGGACTGCTGAAATTTCACTGCTTTGTCGATGACATCCACAGGTTGCACAGAGAAGCTGTCTAAACACAGGACTGCTGAAATTTCACTGCCTTCCGGATGAAACCCAAAGGTTGCACAGAGAAGATTTCCAAGCACAGGACTGCTGAAATTTCACTGCTTTGTGGATGACATCCACAGGCTGCACAGAGAAGCTTTTCTAAACACAAGACTGTTGAAATTTCACTGCCTTTTCGGATGAAACCCAAAGGTTGCACAGAGCAGCTTTCTACACACAGGACTGCTAAATTTTTTACTGCTTTCTTGGATGAAACCGTAAAGGTTGCGCCGAGAAGCACAGGTTCCACAGAGCAGCTTTCAAACACAGGACTGCTGAAATTTCACTGCCTTGTGGATGACATGCACAGATCCACAGGTTGCACAAGAGAAGCTTCCAAAGACGCAAGTGCTGAAATTTCACTGCAACTCTACAGGTTGCACGCAGAAGCTTTCAAGCACGGGACTGCCCTAACGTGCTGAGGCAAGGAACATGATTTTGCCACACGCATCAAATCAAAGACAGGCAGCCAGGGTGGCCTTCAAAACTTGAGTGGCTGGTGAACACTCCGGCCTGGCAAAAGGGCAAGCGTGTGGAAATTTGAGGCAAAACAAGGCTGGACAAGACCGACAACAAAAATGATGGCTTTTCGAGGCCCATCTCAATCTACTCATTTGCTTATTTGATTCTCTTGATTTTTTCATTTAGGTATTTTCTTATTCATATTTTATGTTTCTTAAATACTCTACAAACAAATCCAACTAAACTCCATATATACATGTATATATAAAACTGGTATTGAATACGTACACATTGTCTGTTTACATTAAGTTTATATGCACACACATACCTACCCCGGACCCCCCCCATACTTGCAAAATAAGTTAACCCAGGATTAAACACCCCACTGGTTTGTCAAACCATAGAGCATGTCACGGCGTCACCGTCAAAAAATGTCTTCCTCCTTGGTGAAAAACATATCAAACAATAGCTTATATATCATTTATCCACACCCGCGCGCGTTTTTTCACCTTCATCCATCCGGAACACCCTGGCGTGAACCTACCGGCCACGCCGCCGCCGGCGCCGATCCTTGAACTGCTGCACCTGTCGGCCGCCGTGCGAAACATACAGGAGCGGCTCACCCGCATAGGGCTGGCCTCCTTCTCCTTCCGCCCCCGCCTGCTGCGCAAAGTTACCGGCACCGGCGACGAGTGCCGGCCTTTGCTCCAAGGCGGAGACTTCGGCGAGGCTGGCCGTCGGAGATCTCTTCCCGACACACTCGCAGCTCCGCCGCTTGCGAGGCCCATCGGTGTCCGGATTCGGGCCGTCCGGGTGTTTGGCGCGCATGTTTTGCGCCATGGCATGCTCCTGCTTTCGGACCCAAGCCGAGCAAAGCTTGCACTTCTCAAACTCCCTTTGTCTCCACAACCCGCCTCGAGCTCCGCCTTTTCCCGGCTGCTGCTGCTGCCACCAAGCGCGCCTATCGCTTGACTGCTGGTGCAGGGACAAGCCTTGCTCCCCTCCCCCTACGCTTTTCCAGCAGATGGGGCATGTTGTGGAAAAACATCATCCATCTCATCCGGACCAGGCTCCGGAACTTCAGCTGGTGCCACTGGTGGCAAGTCCGGGCTGCGTGGGTCGTAGGTCTTCTTCTTTTTCTTCTTTTTGTCCTCCTTTCTGTGCACGTCACTGGGCTCAAGCGAATCCATTCGGAGGCTTGTTCCAGCCCAATGCGGTGGCTGGAGGAGAAGGCTCAGTTGCACTTGGTGATGCAACATGAACCACTGTTTTTGCGCCCGCCTGACGGCAGCTGCATCCGGAGCCACCGCCTGCTCAGCCAACACAGGGGTCCAACGTGTCTTGCCTTGCTCCTGCGAAGCGCAACGTCGGCCCGCGCGGAGCCGAAACAGCTGCAGAAACAACAACACAAATCCAGACCCCGATAGATAACAACTCAAACATGCCATGTTGAATCGTTGAGCCAAACCAACCCAAGCAAACAACCCCCCCTCCCCCGGAAGGGCGCATTAACAAAGGGGTTCGAAGCCGAACACGCACACAACACAACGGAAAAGCAACTCCCCCAAAATGGCGCGCTAACAAAGGAGGAAGCCGAAAACGCATTCAACGCACCTGGCGAAAACGAAATGTGGGCGCCACTTCGTGAACTGCGTTGAATTGAGTCTCAGTCTCAGTCAGCCCAGCCCTGCCCGCTCAACTACTGCTTCTGCGCTTGTTCAAAAGGCGGCCAGGCGGACACTGCCATTACTGGGCCACTACTACCACTGCCACTGCCGCTCACAAATTTTACTTGGCCTACGTCAGCCGGCATCAGGCGTGAGTTGACGCCGACGATGTCAATGTCTGTCAGTGTGCCAGCCTGTCAGCTGTCAGCTGCCGTGCGGCCGTGCGCTTGCTGCCACTGAATGGCTGCAACAGCTGCATCTGGCGGCTGGCAATCTGGTCCTCACATTGGTCTGGATTTGGAAACCGCGCAGCTGCATGCAACCATGCGAGCAAAAAGGCCGCTGCCTGTGCTCGGGTAGCAAACTTGTGCAAGAAAATATACCGCCTGCAACGAGCGTGACGAGCACATGTCGCAAAGGCTCTCGGCTGAGCGCTTTGATGCGTCATGTTGTCGAAATAGACCACGGTGTCTGGAATGCCCGGAGTTGCAATCGTGATGCAACTCCGGGCTGCGCAGGCAAATCCAAGCAAACTGGTTCTTCCCCCAGGACCTGCTCCAGCAAAGGCCTCACCAGAGCCCTTGCGTCCTCAGCGAGATTTGCGCCAAGCCCTTCGCGCAGTCGGGCCACGCAAGTCTGACTGCGCTGGCAAGTCGAGCCCTGCCCGGACCCTTGCTTCTTCGGCGCCTCTTCGCTCGGCCGAACGCAGCAGCCGCAGAAACACGCAAGAGCTGCAGCTCTTTTAAGTCTTGCCAGCCCAACAGGGCTGCGTAATACATGTACGACCCTTTGTGGGAAACCTTGTCCGGAGCGTTTGCCTTCTCCCAAACATATGGAAGCAAAAACAACGTTCCAAGATAGATTTCAGGCTTCCTTCTCACTCCCAGCATCCAAGATCATGGCCTGCTGCGTGCTGCACTTGAGAGTTTGGGGGATCAGGACGTGCTCGTGGCAGTAGCAACCTTTGAAAAAGGACCACAGCCTTAGCGAAATTCCACAGAACCAAGCTCAAAGGCTCATGCAACGGGTCTTCCAGAGCCGCGTCCACATCGCCTCTGAGAAGGGAGTCGCCAGAAAGCACATCTCCACACCAATACTCCTTTAAGTGCAACTGGAAAGGAATGCAAGGCTCCAAAACCTTTTCCAATGTTTCCCACCGCCATGTCGCGACTGGAAGGCCGAGACCATGTCACTGACTGCCTTGGGGGCCGAGGACATCAGTTTCTTCAGCGCAACATTCCGGTAACTTTTGGTGCCAAGCAATTTCACCGCAGAAAGTTGCTTCTGGAACCGCGGCCAAAAGTCCAGACTTGTGACTGCGTCCTCAGAGCGTTGAACACAATGTGCAAAATCCCAGCTTGTTCAAAGGCGTCATAAAACAAGGGGAAACTTGAACTTGCACCGTCGGACGAGCTGGGGCCGACCGACTGCTCCACTGCGGCGGCAGCAATGTCCTCGTACTTTCCAACCGGGAATGAACACAGCAGCTTCTCAGTGCCCTGGTCACTCAGAAAGCCTCTCACTTCTGCCCTGTATGGCAAGAGAAGAGCGCCGTGTGCAATTGTACTCAGTGTTCAGCAAGCGCATGAGAGCTTGCGCCTTCTTCGCAGCCCTTGTCTCTCCACGGCCCAACGTTACGCAGAGCAAACTGCGGAACTCGTGCTCGAAGCCGCCCCAAGGGTCTGGCGTGAAGCGGTAAGTCAAAATCTACTCGGTCACGCAAAAGAAGTCCTAATTTCCTTGTGGAGAACTATCAGCGCTCAAGTACCTGGCTCTTCGCACCGAACTACTCGCCGGGACAGCTGAACACTCTTTGGGAAAGAGCATGCAGGGACAGGTCCAGCTCGGGGCAAATAATTCGCGCGACCAAGCTTGTCACTTGCTTGAGCTCTGCTGAGTTGGAAAGCATGAATGACAGTCGGGCAAACAGTACTTCCTGCAAGGGTGTCCTTGCTGGGCGGCCGAGAATCTCACGCCAGCGCTCTGGCCTCTTGCGCCAGCCTTCTTTGGAGAGCTCCGATGAGAAACGGTCAGCCTGCACCGCTGGCTGCGCTGGCTCGTCCACGGCAGCTTCTTGACGGATCGAGGTTGGGCGCACGCTGGCGGGCATCAACAAGTATGCTGGTTGATTGG